TTAGCTTGATAGGGCTTCTGTAACAAAGTAGCATAAGTTTCCTGGCTAACCTAACAGGAATGTATTATCTCTCAGTTCTGGAGGCTGGAAGTCTGAGGTCAAGACAGGGTTGTTTTTTCTGAGCTGTGAGGAACAAGCATGGAAATGCTTTCTCTTAGATAACAGTGGTTTGCTGGCCACCTTTGGCATCCCTCGCAGACGTATTCTCTGTGCTCTCATACTGTCTTGCCTCTGCACGGGTCTCTTTTCTTCCCATGGTGTTCTTTTCATAAGGACACCAGTCGGACTCGCTTATTGGCCCAACCTACTTTAGAATGACCTCATCTTAAATAATTAAATCGCCAGTGACCCCATTTCTAAACAAGGCCACATTTTTAGACACTGGGAGTTAACATTTTTAAATACGAATTTTGAGAACACAATTCAATCCATAACAATGTATATTGAAGTTCCATCACACAAACATTTACTTACATAAGTTCATCAAAATGGCCTCATTTAAGAAACCAGAAATGAGAAGAAAAGAATTTACACAATCTGAATGATTTGGGCAGTTTTGCCCATGTTTTTACTTTGTGCTCCTGTGACATTGAGATGGAAGTTGTAATACTGCTGTTTATTCAGTAGGCCACGATTTCCCTGTGCCTTTTGGAAAGTGAGCATCTAGTCACTCATAATGAGATTCTTGACTTTAACACATACATTTGATAATATGTGATACCTGTCTTTCAGGTGGGCTTTATGATCTCACTTCTTAGGATACTATCTCATAGTTTGCTATGCAATTTTCTCCTCAGTCATTCTTTTTGTCCTACTATCTTTTTAAAAAGTACCTTACAAATCCCTTTACTGTCACTTTAGCAGGTAAAGGAGGGAGGGGGCTGAAGCTACTAGATACATTTCACAAATTTAGTTATAATGATGCACATTGATTGAAGATTTGTGCCTTGATTCAATCTGGAAAATGCTTAGTTGTCATCTCTTACAGCATTGCTTTTCTGCAGTATTAATTTTCTACTGTTATTGTAATGAGTCACCATAAATTTGTAGATGAAAACAAAACAATTTTATGTAGGTCAGAAATCTAGGTGGCCTCTGCTGTCTAAATCAAGAGCCAGCCTGTACTCTTATCCACAATAAGAGAATCTGGGGTAGATTCTGCTTCTAAGTTCATTCAGGGTGCCGTAAGAATTCAGTTCCCCAAGGTGCAAGGATGAGGTTCAGCTAGAGTCTGGCTGCTAACTAGGGTCTCTCTCAGCACTTGCTCTTTTCATTTTTAAGCCAGCAAGTCAGCTCATTACATCCTTCTCCTCAAACCCTCCTCACACTTCTCTGCTTTTAAGGACTCATGTGAATACATTGAGTCCACCCTGCACAATCCAGGAAAATTCCCCTATTTAAAGGCCTTTAATTTTTTTTTTTTTCAGTACTGGAGATGGAACGCAAGTGCACTCTACCACTGAGCTATAGCCCTAGTCTTTTTGCTTTTATTTTAAGACAGTTCTCCCTAAGTTGCCCAACCTGGCGATCCTCCTGCCTCAGCTGCCTGAGGATCTGTGATTACAGGCATGTTCTACTGTGCCTGACAAAGCCTTTACATCTGCAATGTCCCTCTTACATGACATAACATTCACAGGTTCCACAAAGTAGAGTGTGGACATCTTTGGGAGGCCATTCTGCCTACCACACCTGCCACTCTTTCTAGAGCCTTCTTGGAATCTCTTGAAATATTTCTTATTTTGTTGTTTGATTGTAATCTTTTTAAAAATTTTTTTCTATATTTCTTAATAGCTTTATAAATATAGTTTATTTCTTTGTCTGCACTGGGATCCAGGTGAATTGTCTAATTCTTTTAACTGTGTCTAATCTATAGTCTATTCCAGATAATGATTCTTTAAATTTTTTGGTGACTTTTTATATTTTTTTTTATTTTTCAATGATATTTTTTTGTTTGTTTGTTCTTTTTGATTATACATGACGGTAGAATGTATTTTGACATATTATACATACATGGAATACAACTTCCCATTCTTCTGGTTGTACATGATGTGGAGTTACACTGGTCCTGTAATCACATGTAAACATAGGAAAGTAGTGTTCATTCATTCTACTGTCTTTCCTATTCCCATTCCCCTCCCTTCCCTTCATTCCCCTTTGTCTAATCCAAAGTACTTCTATTGTTTCCACTGGCTTATTGTGAATGAGCATCTACATAACAGACAGAACATTTGGCTTTTGGTTTTTTGGGATTGGCTTATTTTACTTAGCATGATAGTCTCTAGTTCCATCCATTTACCAGCAAATTCCATCATTTCATTTCTCTTTATGACTGAGTAATATTCCATTGTGTATATATACCACATTTTATTTATCCATTCATCTGTTGAAAGGCACCGAGGCTAGTTCCATAGTTTAACGATTGTGAATTGAGCTGATATAAACATCAATGTAGCAGTGGGTGACTATATTTTTAAAATCCAAGTTTCTGTTTGGTTCCTTTGCATACCCATCTGCTCTTGCTTCATCAAATAATTCTTCTTTTTCATGGCAGTTATTCCTTCATTCACCCAGACCAATGGTTCTCAATTAGGGGTGATTTTTGCCTCACAAGGGACATTTGGCAATATCTGGAGACATTTTTGGTTGTCAAAACGACCTTGGAAGCTGCTGCTCACATCCAGTGGTGGAAACCAGGAATGCTGCTAAACATTCTGCAATGTGCAGGACAGGCTCTGCTCAACAGTTTTCCAGCACAAAATGTCAGGAATGCTGAGGTTGAGAAAGCTTCATCTAGATAATTTTAAACATATTCATTTAAATGTTTCATCAGTCTTATTTCCTCTGGAGAATTAGTGTTTTGATTGTTTCTTGTGTCAGCTATCTTTACTAGCATTAGATTTCTTTGTTATTTTGACATCATGGTTTGCAAGTTCAAAGAAGGTAGTAACTGGGCTAATTAGTGACTGGGATGACATTTCTGTATTCATATTATTTCTGTCACTTTTTTTTTTTTTGTACCAGGGATTGAACCTAGGGGCACTTAACCACTGAACCATATTCCCAGCCCTTATTTATTTATTTATTATTTTGAGACAGGGCCTTGCCAAGTTGCTGAGGCTGGCTTTGAACTTGTGATCCTCCTTCCTCAGCCTCCTGAGTCACTGTGCCACTGCACCTGGCTTCTCGGTCCTTTTTGCTGCCTTAACTTTGGGGTCAGACTCTACTCAGCTGTGTATGTAGATGTGTTGATTGTCTGTTGGAGCTTGTGCTTTCTCAGCAGTGATAGCAACCAAGCAACCAGTGTCCTTCAGTTCTATCACAAGGTCTAGAAGGAGCCACAAAACCAGAATGTATGCACAGGACGATGGTGCCAGCTCCAACAGTAGTAACTCAGCAGTTCCTGGGATAAGTTGACTATTACCACTCAGTGGTCCAAGTCTCATGCAAGAAGAAACATCTTTTGAAACTGTGGCCCTGGCCAATGGAAAATTACCAGACTTTATTTCTAACCCCAACCTCAAAATGCTTGCATCTCCCTTTGTTCAGGAAGTAGTCTGCTCTCCCTCTCCATCACTGCTGTCTCCCTTCCAGTGAAGCCCCCAAAGTCTTGCCTGCATGCATGTTTGCAATCACTTGGATTAGTTTCTATCATCATTGAGTCATAAGCTGCCCCTCATGTACCACCCCAACTCCTTTGTGTGACAGGGATCTTAACCTCAGGCCTTGGAAGACAGCAGTGAGTCTGACTCTCTTCTTCCCTATTGCTTGGAGATGTCTGTCCCAATCACCTTTTTGCATTTCTTTATTGAGTTGTCTTTTACACTTACTAATTAGTATGTGTCTGGAATGAAAAACAATGATTTGTCTTGGCTATGCACCCTCAAATGTGTTTAATCGCAGATGTGCAAAATGTTGTACAAAAGTTATCCACAGGCCCTGTGCGTTGGCCAACACCTGTAATCCCAGCTGCTGGGGAGGCTGATACAGGACCATTGGGAGTTCAAAGCCAGCCTCAGCAAAAGCCAGGCACTAAGCAACTCAGCGAGACCCTGTCTTTAAATAAAATACAAAATAGGTCTGGGGATGTGGCTCAGTGTTGAGTGCCCCTGAGTTCAATCCCCAGTACCTCCACCCCACAAAAAAAGTCAGGACTTTCAACTCATTGCCTCGTAGAAATTCCATAAAATAGCTCATTGAAGCATGTGAAAAACAGATGAGGCACACAAAATGGAAACATTAAAACAATATATGAATGGGTACACAGCTATCCACAACTCATAGTGCAGCTGTATGATAGACTAAGTACATTTTCAGAGCGAAGGCCTACTTGGAAGGGAGAGGAAGGAATAAACAAGAAAGAATGGAGCTCCTGTCTGATCATCTAAAGTTTTCAGAGGGAAATGGACTTCTAGGATTTGCCCACGTGTTTTCCGTCTTTGAGCAGGTTCTCTTGAAGCAGTTTATTTGAATTTAATTCCACTTGCAAATGTTTATTGTGGTAGGTGCTAGGGAAAAGTAGCTGAGGATAAAATTATCCTTGGCTTAATGAATTCTCAGTCGGGGGCGGTAGGAAGAGACAGACAGTGATGTTTGGGTGGTTGCATTCCATTCCGTGGGTCCACACAGTCTTAGGGGGATGTGTTTGGGCAATTAATTGTACAGGGTGGTGGTCGAAGTTGCGAAGACATGATGATTTCTGCTGGGGGTTGCGTGAGTAGGCGTTCATTTCGCAGAGCAAGGCTAATCCCATGCAGGGACCACGACTGGGTGCGTTTTCACCCGGTGCCGAGGCGCCCAATCCGCAGACGGGAGAACGTCAACTCGGGCCCAGCGGAAGTCGGGGTTGGCCTGCGCGGGCGCCGTCCGCTAGGGGGCGCCGTGGCCCGCGCCGTCCGGGCCGTTGCGTTTCCGGGCACCGGGGTCCAGCGCCGCCATCGCCACCGGGCGCGCGCGCCCGCCGCTCCCGTTACCTGGGCAACCGTGGCGCCTCCTCCGTGAGGGCCTCGACCGTCTCTCCGCGCCATTTTCAAACTGCTCTAACGCTGGAGCCGGTGGCCCTAGCGGAAGGAGCCAGCGAGGGAGACGAGTGCAAAAGGAGATGCGGCCGCAGGTGGAGGACGCGGAGGCCGGAGCTGAGGGTGAGGCGGGCCTCGGGGGCGGAGGGCCGGGCGGGGCCGGCGGCGGCGCTTTCGTCGTCGCCTTCCGGGTCGTCCCCGCGGGCCGGGCCTGGACGCCGCCAGAGGCCGCGCGGTTGGGAGGACGTGGGCCCGGGTTGGGCGGGAGGGGCGCGGGCACCGTCCCACCGGCCCGCTTCCGTCCGCACCCGAGGGCCAAGCTGCAAACCCGAGCTTGGCCGGGAGCTTGACCCAGCCCGCCGCGGGGCGTCGGCGTAGGCCGTGTGGGCGGGCTTGGTAGATAGGTAGATTTAAATTACAAAGCCCTCCCAGGGTAGGAAGCCGACATGCAGTTAGTGAAAACAGCGCCCCCGAGCGCCCGTGCCCAGCGCCTTGGAAAACACCCGGTCTCCCTTCGAGTTCAGTAGCGGGGGACTCCGAGGTACCTCGGTGCACGGGTTCTGTGGCCGCTTTTGTTGGGCGGGATTGTTTCTTCATACTCAAGTGTAAAAATATGAAGCCCCACCCTCCAGGGTTAGCAGATGATGCTCTGGGCGTGTCTGCGTGTGGGTTCCCCAAAGTCACCCTTTGATGTTTTGCTAGAAACTTTGTTTTTAGGCGGGATCTATGGGACGACCACAGCCCTTGCCCTTCTTGGGAGGATGGGAATCTGACTTGTGGCCTCGGGCATGATTTTTAAAATATATATGTTTTATTCTCATTCCCTCTTATTCTTCTCCCCGAAGCAGGGTGTAAAGAGGAATTATTTCTGGGCAGCCAGAGTTGGGGGAAATGCTTGTGTGGTAGCCGCCTGGTTTTGTCAGGTTTATTTCTGGTGTGTTCAGGACGTTCCAGAAAACACCCTCCTGCATCACCCTCCTGCATCAATCAGTTAAGTCCCTCTTTGTGGAAGGAACCTACAAAGTGCATTGCAAAGCTCTCAGAGATGACGCTAGCAAGTGCCACGAGAGATTTATAGAAAGGAGTAACAAAGGAGAGGTAGTAATTTAGAAGGGATTTGAAAATACAGAAACCAAAGTGCTAGACAGGACTCAGGGGACCTAGCATCCAGAGACTGTTTACCTACTTTGTGGGCCCATGGTTTGGGAAACAGTTACTTTCTTGAGCCTTTCTTCATCTTGAAGGACAACTATTGGGCATTTATTTCTCACAGGATTGTTTTGAGGATCAAATTTTACATGTAGTCACATGCGTCCACATTTTACAAATTGTGAATAACAACATAGATGTAAAACAAAATTTTTGTTTGGTTTAGAAATGTGAATATTTTGACTACATTTAGCTGGCAAAATTTAGAAAAAAGCCAAGTTTCTAAAGAAAGGAACTTTGGATAACTCCATTTTAGGGCAGATTGGTAAAGAATGTATTCATAAATATTTTAGAAGACCAATATAAAAACGTGTACAGAGATACTTATGTGTGTGTCATTAAGAAGAAATTGAGCCCGGGTGGTGGCATGAGCCTAAAAATCCCAGGAAGCTGAGGCAGGAGGATCTTAAGTTCAAAGCTAGCCACAACAACTTAGTATTGAGGCCTAACTTACTTAGCAAGACCATTTCAAGGGCTGGGGATGTGGCTCAGTGGTTCAAACCCTGGTACAAAAAATAAAGAAAGAAATAAAAGTTGAAATGAAATTTATATACTCAGCCATCAATACATACACTGAGGATTGAACCCAAGTACAGTGTACCCAGCCCTTACTTGTACATTTGAAAAGCTTCCATAAATCTATACACCTGTGTAACCACTTACTCCACTCAACAGTATTTTTATCACCTGAGAAAGTTCTTAATCTTTCCAGTCACCTCCCTGGGCAACTGCTGAAATTTCTATCCCTATAGTTTAATTTTACCTGTTTTTGGACTTAATGTATTTGGCTTTTTCTGTTCAAAATAAACTTTTTTTTTTTTTTGGCGGGGGTGGGGGGGGCTACTGGGAGATTGAAACCAGGGGCACTTGGCCACTAAGCCACATCCCCAGCCCTATTTTGTATATTATTTAGAGACAGGGTTTCACTGAGTTGTTTAGCACCTCACTGTTGCTGAGGCTTGGCTTTTTGTTGTTGTTGATGGACCTTTATTTTATTTATTTTTATGTGGTGCTGAGAATTGAACCAGTGCCTCACATATTAGACAAGGCTCTACTGCTGAGCTACAATACAACCCCAGCGCTGCCCCCACCCCTTTGAATTTGAGAGCCTCCCAAACCACTGGGTTTATAGGCATACACCATCTTGTCCAGCTCAGTTCGAGGAATTTTGAAAATCATCCATATAGTGGATGTGTATCAGTAATTCCTTCATTTTATCCCTGAAACAGAAATATTACATTGTATAAAGATATCATAGTTTGTTTCTTCAACTGTTGATGAATGTTTAGCTGTTTTTCCAGTTTGGGGCTATTATAAATAAAACTGTTATTATATTCATTTTTCAATTTTCTTGTAGTCTTTGTGGATGTTTGCTTTTTGTTTTTTTTAATGTAAATACCTAGGAGAAGAATTACCTGGTTATAGCTAGAAGTATACCTTTATAAGAAACTGGCATGCTGTTTTCCAAGGTGATTTTTTTACTCCTGTCAGCAGTGTGTGAGGCTTTTTCTTGCTTCAAATCTTTGCTAACATTGGATATTGTCCATTTTTTTTTTTTTTTTTTTTTTGGTACTGGGATTGAACTCGGACACTCAGACACTGAATCACATCCCCAGCCATTTTTTGTATTTTATTTAGAGAGACAGGGTCTCACTGAGTTAGTTAGCACCTCGCCGTTGCTGAGGCTGGCTTTCAACTTGTGATCCTCCTGCCTCAGCCTCCTGAGCCGCTAGGATTACAGGTGTGCCACCGTACCTGGCTTATTGTCCATTCTTTTAATTTTAGCTATTGCTAATATGGGTAAAAATTGCACCTCATGGGCTGGGGTTGTGGCTTAGCGGGAGAGCGCTCACGCTGGGTTCAATTCTCAGCATCACATAAAAATAAATAAAATAAAGGTATTGTGTCCAACTACAACTAAAAAATAACAAAAAGTTGAACCTCATTATGTTTTTAATTTTTATTTCCCTGATGACTAATGTTAAGTACCTTTTCATATGATATTCCTCTTTAGATATCTTTTTCAAAGTGCTCATTCAAATCTTTAGCACAATGAAATTTTAGTTTTAGCCCAAATAAATTTTCTTACTGAGCTGTTTATCTTATTGTTGAGTTATAAGAGTTCATTTTACATTCCATATATGTCTCAGATATTGTGAATATTTTCTAGTGCTCTTTGGTTTTGCTTTTTCCTTAATAGAATATTTTGATGAGCAGATGTTTTTAATTTTTTTTAAATATTAAGCTTCTATTATTCTTTTTTTTAAGAGAGAGAGAGAATTTTTTAATATTTATTTTTTAGTTTTCGGCGGACACAACATCTTTGTTTGTATGTGGTGCTGAGGATCGAACCCGGGCCGCACGCATGCCAGGCGAGCGCGCTACCACTTGAGCCACATTCCCCAGCCCCAGATGTTTTTAATTTTGATGAAGTTTTTCTTTTGTTTAGTGCTCTTAAGAGTTCCTTCTAAAAATTCTTTGCCTACCTCAGGCTCTGAAAAATCTTTTTTGTTTTCTTTTAGAATCTTTATTGCTTTAGTTTTGATATTTATGTTTATGGAGAGATTCATGTTTTAATGCAGCTACATGGATGAGATCATGTGTTGAATTTAAGTCAATCTGAATGTCCCAGAAGACTGCCTGTCTGAAGAGAAACAGAAAAATAATTGTTTCATATTAAATTTTGTTGTTGTATTGAATTCAGGAGCACTCTACCACTGAGCTACATCCCAACCCCTTTTTATTTGAGACATGGTCTCCCTAAGTTGCTCACCTTGCCTTGAACTTGAAACCCTCCTGCCTCAGCCTTCCCAGTCACTGGGATTGAGTCTCTGGGATTCCAGATGGGTGCCACTGTTCTCAGCTTTTTCTTTTCTTTTTCCTTTTCTTCCTGCAGTACTGGGAATTGAACCCTGGGCATGCTGGGCAGGCACTCTACCACTGAACTTATCTCAGCTGTTTTACTTTTTGGACCGAGTCTCCCTAAACTCTGGAGTCTGGCCTGGAATTTTCAATCCTTCTGGCCCAGCCTCCAAAGTAACTAGGGTTATAGGCGTGCACTGTCATGCCAGATTGAATCTTCTTATTGTGAAATGATAACAGTAGCTGTAACAGTATAATGACATTTCATTCTTTTGTTTTTAGAACTTTAACTTTTAGAAGTGAATAAAACTGGTTTTGGAAGACAAGATGACTACAACTGCAGAAAGAAAGTATATTAATATTAGAAAAAGATTGGATCAGTTGGGATACCACCAGACTCTGACATTGGAGTGTTTACCATTGGTGGAAAAACTTTTCAGGTAAAGATAAAAAATACAGTTCTAAGCATATGTGATCCTGAATCTACTTCTAAGTTACTTAGGGTCCTGCCAAGTTGCTGAGGCTGGCTTTGAGCTTGAGATCTCCTGCCTCAGCCACCCCAGCTGCTGGGGTAATAGGCGTGTGCCATTGCACCTAGCAAAGACTTTTTGAAAAGTGCTTAAATCATCTGTTCTTCCTTATGTCCTAATTTGTCTGTTCTCAGTGCAGGGCCTCCACACTGCAAAGTGTAGGGGTCACCACTCATCCTATTACTGTTGAGAGTGATATTACTGAGGATTTTTTTTTGTGAATAGTTTTTTATATTCTTGGAGATACTTCCCTTTCTTTCCTTCTCTCTCTCTGTCTTGTCCTTTTCAGTGCTGGGACTGAATCCAGAGCCTCTACATGTACTAAGCAAACTATATTCCTAGCCTAACTTTCTCTTTCTTAAGTTCTATGTCTATTTCACTGATCTTTAAAATTACTATTATTTTAATTAAGGTTCTCTAATAAGTTGTTATTATGTTCTCTAATATGTGGTCATTACTATTACATCTTACCTTAACTGAAAGGTTCTTACCTTCATTAAAAGGATTCCCCCCAAACCTCTTTCTACAAGAGCTATATTAGAATGGTTTTGGACTGGAACAGGGAAGGATTTTAAGGTAGGACTACCAGTAATGATGGTGAAGAGAATGGATTAAAGATATTTTGTGGCCTTTCACATGACCTCCCAACCTTTCATGATCTAATCCCTGTTTTTTCCACAACTTCGTCTCCCTGTGTTGAATCACTTGAATCTCCCCAAACTTAATCTCTTACCCTTGGTCTTTCTGTATACTGTTCATCTGCCTAGGAACATCTTTTCTCCTCTCTGTTCCTTGCCTGCTTAGCTTTTAAGTTTAAGTATCCCAAAGGTCTCTTTGTTTTTTAGTTGTAGGTATACTCAATATTTTATGTGGTGCTGAGGATCGAACCCAGTGCCTCATGTGTGCTAGGCGAGTGTTCTACCACCAAGCCACAACCCCAGCCCTCCCATAGGTCTCTTTTACTTAGGTTACATATTATCTTAACTGTGCATTATTGCAAATTTGTTTTTACCTTCATTTAGAATGCCACTTTCATGAAACCAAAGACTGATTTTGTTACTCCTGTATCAGGTTGAACATATAGGCACCAAAATATTTGTTGAGCTTGTAATATACTAGTATGTCTTTTTGACAGACTCTGTAGAATGAAAGCTTCACAGGTGTGAGGACTTTTTTATGTTTCTTCCTCAATAAATATTTACTGGGTGGATTTTCCGCTGGTCTGAGAGTTCTCAGAAATAAGGAACTAATTCTTATTTGTTGTGTTCCTGGTGTTTAACAGACAGCAAACAATCAATAAATACTTGCTCAGTGAAAACAAATCACAGATTCCACAGACTTGGAGGAGATAAGCAAGGGGGGAGATTCAAAGATGATTCAATGTGTATATATTTCATAACTTATAATAATATTATTTTGAAAAATTTTGAGGACATCCTTATACCTTGAAAAAATGATAAGTGTTCTTTTCTACCTTTTAAATTAATTAATCCATTTTTTTGAGATAGTGAAAGGGCTTTGCATTTAAGCTCTCTACCACTGAACTGCATACCCAGCCCTTTTTAAGAAAAATATTTTAAGACAGGGTCTTGCTAAATTGTCCCAAAGTTGCTAGGATTATAGACACATCCTCTATGCTCAGCTTCTTTTTTGAAGTTTGATATAATTTAACATTAAGATATACATACATTCAAGCCTTTTTAGAAATATATTTCAAGTTATTAGAAGATTAATGAAATGTTTCTTATATTTATGGGTTCTGTTCCTTAATTTTAGTGACTTAGTTCATACAACAGAAAGCCTTCGACAATCAAAATTATCTACTGTGAAAGCTGAAAAGGAAAGTGCCAATTTTGATTTTGTATTGGAACCCTATAAACTTGAAAATGCAAGATTGAGTAGGGAAAATAATGAATTATACCTGGAATTAATGAAACAGAGAGAGTACTCAGACCAACACATTAAAGGTAAGTGAAAATTTGGTAATATTTTAAAATAATGGTTTTGCCCTTTCAGTTTTATGTGTTGAAAAGGCTAAACTCTAATTTTAAAACTGGTTGGTTAGAAAAGAGAGTAGTCTTACTAACAGCTCCTTAAATACAATAGGGTATATTGAAGAGTTCCTGAGAAGGAAAATAAATGTATATTTATAGCTGTATTATATGTGGATTAAAGTTTTAGAATTAAAATGCTAGAAATGAGGACATGCTCTTGAAACAATTTTTGTTTTTCCCTTTTTATATTAAAGTAAGGTGAAAACCATGGATTGCTTTGTCTAGTAGTTTTTGATCTGGGAAGTAGATAGAACAGGATGATTTAAAGGTACTAGGCAGAATGTAATTATATGGTTATCTTATTATAATTCTTACATTTGGTAGAAAGTCCTAATACCGGGCATGAATTAATAATTTTTTGCTTCTTACTCAATTTAGTAGGTCAAAAACCATTGTATACATTAGGCATCTTCAGCAGTAGAAAAGTGTAATTTCTTTTTGTGTTTAGTGAGTTGTTTTATTCAATGGTAGAAAGAGTGATAGGCTACAAAACTTTTACAAGATTTGGGTGAAGCTTTTTAAATTGATTTGTCTTATTGTGTCTTATGAAATGGAAGGACAGTGGATTTTTTGATCTTTAAAATAGTCTTTGAATCTTTTTCATTTTAAGAGTTGAAAACTACTTTGAAAAAGTGTGCACGTGAAACCGCTGATCTGAAATTTCTAAATAACCAATATGTTCATAAACTCAGACTTTTGGAGAAAGAAAGCAAAGCTAAGAATGAAAAAATTCAGCAACTTCAAGAAAAGAATTTGCATGCTGTAGTACAAACTCCGGGTAAGCTTATTCCTTCCCCAAACAAAATTTGTTAGAATTCTAATGAAGAAAAAGTGTGGTTTATGTTTGATCTTCATGAGAATCAGTTCTGATCTGGGCCAAATGCTTAAAAAGTAAATTATTCATGTGCTTTAGACCGAGACAAGATGGATCTGTTAATAATTTTGAAAATATTTTCTACTAATTCAGGTTATAGCTTGACTTTATGTTATAGGTGATATCCCATCATATTCTAATTTTTCTGTTTAAAAATTCTGTTACCTTCTCTTTTGATATTAATCAGTATGTGTATCTTAGTTCTCACTGCCTTAAGCCCCTCATATGGCAGTTTTCTATTCCTGATGATTTCTTGATTTCATAATAGCAAACACTACAGGACACACTGAGTTTTAAATTTTGCCAAAGGCTAATCCCCATCTGGCTGAGAAACAAATTAAATCTGGGTGTATATGCCAAACATGCAGGCATATAAAATTAGTTTTACATCCATGTCTTGCTGAGGTTTTAGGAATACATTGTTTAACGAGCAGGGTGGGTGTTCACATATAAGGCATAAAACATTTGATCAATATGTAACGTGAGCCTGGCATGGTAGCAAATGCCTATAATCCTGTTGATTTGAGAGACTGAGACAGGATTCCAAGTTGGAGGCCAGCCACAGCAATTTAGTGAGACCTTGTCTCAAAAAATGAAGAGGAATAAAAGGGTCTGGGGATATAGTCCAGTGGTAGAGGGCTTCTAGGTTCAATTTCTATTAACAACAACAACACAATATAAGGGGGACAAATGAATGTCAGTAGAGGGAGCAGAGAGAGAAGAGGGGAGGGGAGGGGAGGGGAGGGGAGGGGAGGGGAGGGGGGATAGTAGAGGATAGGAAAGGCAGCAGAATACAACAGACACTAGTATGGCAATATGTAAATCAATGGATGTGTAACTGATGTGATTCTGCAATCTGTATATGGGGTAAAAATGGGAGCTCATAACCCACTTGAATCAAATTGTGAAATATGATATATCAAGAACTATGTAATGTTTTGAACAGCCAACAATAAAAAAATTTAAAAAAAAAAAAAAAAAAAAAAAAAAAACAACAACAACACAAAGGTAATAAGAATTAGATAAACTTTATAACAGAAGCTATCTTGGAATATTTAATGGGGCGAGGTGTGCCAGGGATTGAACTCAGGGGCGCTCAACCACTGAGCCACATCCCCAACCCTTTTTTGTATTTTATTTAGAGACAGGGTCTCACTGAGTTGCTTATCACCTCTGTTGCTAAGGCTGGCTTTGAACTCGCAATCCTCCTGCCTCAGCCTCCTGAGCTGCTGGGATTACAGGTGTGCACCACCATGCCCAGCTGAAGTATTTAATTCTTAGATGGTGTTTTATTTTGTTTCCCCTTAATTTTTAAGACACTCATTTGGGTTTTATTTTTTAGGTGGCAAGAAAAGAAGCATTGCTTTCAGGCGCCAGCGTATGCAAATAGATGAACCTGTTCCTCCTTCTGAAGTTAGTGGTTATCCAGTTCCACAGCCAGATGACCCTTACATTGCAGACCTCCTGGAAGTGGCTGATAATAGGTGCATTAAATTATTCTCTGTTGGGGGCTGAGGGTGAAGCTTAATGGTAGCATGAGTGCTTAGCATGGGCAAAGCCCTGGATTCAATCCCCAGCACCCAAAACAATAATAATAATAACTTTTTGTTGGCTTTATTGATCACTGGGTTAACTGTAAGTTTCTTGGTAGGAAGACTTGTCTTGTTAACTGTTGAATCCCCTGTAACTAGCACAGAACTTTGCACAGGCACTCAATGAATACTTTCTGAATAAAAGTAAAATGTTTTTGCTTGTTTTGGAACTTTGATTTCAAATAGATCATGAATCTGGGGTTTCTGTCCATACATGCTTTGAAATAATTTTGTGTTAACAAGAACCTATTTCAATAGAGTTGCTTACACATTAGTTTAATCTCTAAGTTGTCTTTTACGGGAATCTTTATTCACATTTATATCAAATGCCAATTGGATAGATTTATGACTGGATTTGAAATTCTTATGATTTCTCTGGCTCTGTGTTTGTATTCTTTTAAAGTGGAATCATGTAAATTTCTTTTAATTGAAAATGCATTAAGTGGAGCCTGGGGTTTTAGCTCAGTGGTAGAGCACTTGCCTAGCATGTGTGAGTCACTGGGTTTGATCCTCAGAACTACATTTAAAAAAATAAATAAATAAAGGTCTAAGAAACATAATAACATTAAAAAAAATGTGTTAAGCCTCCTGGGCAAGGCACTGTGTTAAGTGTTTTGAGGATGTACAGACGAATGAAGTACTGCTACTGCTTTTGAGAAGCTTGAAGTCAGTAGTGGAGATGGGACAAGAAGAAATGCATGAAATGTTATAAGAAAATTATAAGGGGTTCAAAGGAGAAAGCAAACAGCACTGGTAACTTTACACTATGGTGATAACTGGAAAAACATTTCAAACTATGGAATACACTAATGGCAATAGTGCAGATAACTTTATTTTGTATTTTATGTAGAGATTTTTGGGGAAGTTTTTCTAGTATATTAATCTTAATATAATAATTTTGAAAAGAGCATTGGTTGAGATACTGATTAGGATCTCTTTACTTGGTTATTCTCATATAATATTATGTACTCACCACCCCCGTCCTCCACACCTCCACCCCCCCATATGGGGATCAAATCCAAGACCTTGCACATGCTAGGCAAGTGCTGTGCTTTTGAGTTATATCCCCAACCCCTTTTATTTCTTTTCAAGATAGGGTCTTGCTAAGTCACCCAAGATCACCTTGGATGTGCAATCCTCCTGCCTCAACTTCCTGAATAGCTGAAATTGCAAGCGTGAGCCATCCTGCCCAACTGTGCATACATAGTTACTTTAACTGTGAAATACTTTGTGTTTTGTTCTTCTGTTGTAATCTAAGACTTCTCAGACAATGTGTTAGTATTATTTAAAGAATTATTTGGATTGTGTAGGTGATATGAATCTCTTTGATAGCATGTTCACTTTAGTTTTTACACACACATTTTGTTTGTATCCAGTCATTCATGCATTCTCCTGAATTAGATTAGTAAGAAAGTTTGGGTGTAGGGTCCGGCTATATCCAACCTCACTTAATCTACCTCATGGAAAATCTCTCTCAAAACAGACCTGCTTCAATCTTTTTCTTTCAAATACAAAAGTTGGTTATATCATGTTGAGGTAGTATAAATACATTTGGGTATTTGTAGAATTCAGGTATGTTGGACAAAATCTTGATTCGATTAGAATTTGTAAGTTAAGAAAGAGTAGATATTTTGCTGTATAGTATAGTCATTTGTAAAATTGCAATTTTCTCAATATTTTCCTTCTCCCAATATTGCAGAGCAGTTCATTAGACAATACACACTTAGGGTCATAAAACACATTTTAGTCTCTTATCTCAATTAATGATGTTGAGAATTTTGAACCAGACTCTTAGTTTTCTGAATCTAAGAATAAATAGTTGTCCTAAGGATCAAAATGCAGTAGTGAGGAGTTTTATTGCATAATATATCTAGATTTCCAGTTATTTACAGATTCTTAAAATCTATTCTTACAAAACCCTCAAAGATGATATACTATATTATGTTGAGACTTTGGGACCCTTTGGCACTTTATCCCTCACTGAGAAGCAGAGTACAGAACTTTTTAAAAGAGCCCCCTCTGTTTTCATATCTTGTTATTTTGTCTTTTCTTAACAAAAGTGTACGTATATTGACATTAGTTACATATATGTTTCAGGATTCAAGAGCTTCAGCAGGAAGTCCACCATCTACAAGAAAAGTTAGCAATGATGGAAAATGGCATAAAAGATTACAGCAAGCAGGTAGGATTTTCATTACTTACATATTTGGGATTGAAATGAATATTCTGTGATCATAACTAGAATTCAGTTATATTTGATATTACTGATACTGAATTTTTATATAGTCTTTATCTTTTCCATTAGTTTGTTTTAATAGAATTAATAGCTGAAATGACTTAGATGGCTTTAAAGCACCTGGTCCATTTCCTTGTTATTCTTTGAGGTGAATAATCATCTTTTATTTTGATTTGGTTTGTTTCTTTTTTTCTTAGGTGAAACATCTGTCTCCTCAAATAGAATTTTATAATCACAGTACTTCCTCCATCAGGAGGGATTTTATTGAAGTGTACTGTGTTTGATAATTGCATTTTTATGATTTTTTACTTCTCACAGATATTGTCATTTTGAATGTAAATCTCTTTAGAGATAACTCTTCTGTATTCCTTCATTTTTTTGTGTTTTCTTTACAAGCATTAGCACTTCATAAAGCAGTTTACTCAAGAAGCAGAGGAATGAATAGATGCAGAGTTAAATCATAACCATGTCAAGCTTTGTCACTTTATATCTATTGATCCTTTGGCCAAATTAAAAGTTAGCTTTCTTAATATGCTTCCTGAAGTTTAAATTTGGATAATGGGTTTTTCATTTTCTGCAATAGTTACAGTTGTGGAGAAAAGCGATTTGCACATACAATTATAGATATAACTTATATTTTGGTATAACTGTTAAGTTTGTAAAGTACTTTGAAGATTACTTGGATTAAAAATAGAGTTAAAGGAAATCATGCTACCATTAACAAAAGATCTTTATTTTATGAAGAGATGTTAAAAATATCAAATGTGCACATGAGTTGAATATTGTTGGTATTTTTTAGTTCACATCACACTTTCATCACATTTTTATCCAGGTACTTTATGAACATAAACTGAGCAGTCTATACCATCTCTGTGAGGTGACTGAGGTGGTCAGAGAAAATTGCTTGATCATTCTAATTAAAACCACCATTTATTATAGTTATTGATCTTAGTTGAGCCAATATGTTATTAGTTATTACTATTCTTTTTGCTTGAGTGTATTTTGTTTTACTCAGCACACATTTCAAATTTTGTGGGGCAAGAGGTGTAACTCAGTTGTAGAATGCATACTTAGCATGTCTAAGTCCCTGGGTTCAGTCTTCTGCACCCATTTTGCTGTTCTTGAGCTCTTTCCCAAATTTACTGCCCTCCTTGTGATATCAGCTTGTCTTAACCTCCTATTTTTTACCTCTAAAATTAGCAATATTGGAGCACCGGTGGCACAATCAGGTAATGCACAGGACTTATGTAAAATTAGCAATATTTATATTTCAGCTTTTGAAAGACTTAATAGGTATATCTGGGAGTGGTAGTGCATTCCTGTAACCTCAGCTGCTCAGGAGACTGAGGCAGGAGTATTGCAAGATCAAGACTACCTGGGTAATTTAGCAAGACCATGTTTCAAGATTAAAAATAAATAAAAGGGGTTGGGGTTATAGCTCACTGTGGTATAGTGTCCCTGGGTTCAGTCCCCAGTACCACACACACACACACACACACACACACAAAAAGACAGTGAGTAGGGGGTTATTCTTTCTGTTAAAGTTTAATTCTTTGGACTCATCTCCAGCCACAAGTTCCACTGTAGATTATAATCCAGTCATACTGAGCCATTTCTCCTACCTCAAAAATACCATGTTGTTTTATGCTTTTATTTTATTGCCTGGAACACTCATCTTTATAACATTATTTATAACCTTCGGACATATTTATTTGATAAGGTCTTTGCTAATTTCCCCAATAAACTAACCATTGCAGAATAAATTACTTAATTCCCTTAATTACTTTGGTGTTATATGCCTTTTTCCTTTATTCATTCATTGCTATTCTATATAGCAATTATTGGTTTACTTGCTGGTTTTCCCTATAAAGCTATGTGTTCCTGAAAATCAGAGACCATGTTTCATGTATCTTTGCTTGCCTAGTTCTGTGCTCAATAATTATTTATTGAATTAAATGTTGAATATTTTGTTTTTATTTTTCTTTAGAAAATAAAACCAAAGCTTGGAAGTATGTGTATTTTTTCCAAATTTTGGCGGGTGAATTAGTGACAATTCATAGTTAATAATAGTCATGTTTTTATTATGTCTGTGTTTTCTATTGTCCTTTTTAAATACTGAGATTCAGAGCAACTCAGTATTCTGAGTGTTTTTTCATTTATTATTCCACATTTATTCCATTCACTCATACTACATTTATTCCATGGGGCACTGGTCTCAGTTCTTGTATTTGAACATGAATATAATCTGTTACCAAGTTTCTTTTTATATGAGCATTGATTAATCTTAGAGGAGGTGGAAAAATCCAAAAATTAATTAGGAAGAATCTAATCAATGAAAATAATTATGAAAACTATGTTGGCCCTTCCTTCCTTCCTTCCTTCTTTCCTTCCTTCCTCTCTCTCGCTCCTCTTTTTCTCTCTTTTTTTTCCTTCCTTCCTTCCTTCCTTCCCTTCCTTCCTTCCTTCCTTTGTGTGTGTGTGTGTCTCTCTCTCTCTCTCTTTTTCTTTCGATTGAACCCAGAGGTGCTCTAACACTGAGCTACACCCCCAGCTCTTTTCATTTTTTATAGACAGGATCTTGCTAAGTTGTTAAGACTGTCCTCAGACTTGTGAGTCTCCTGCCTCAGCTTCCCAACTCACTGAAGTTATTGGCGTATGTCACTGTACCTGACTATATTGGCATTTTCTACTTATTTTTGCTCTACATGTGTGCATTTTATGTGTGGTTACAGGTATGAATATTTATTTCATATGCATTGTTGAACATGTCCTAATAAATGTTCACATGAACTTTAGAAATTTAGGTGTGTCAGAGCTGCCTAAGCTGTAACCAGAATAGAATAAGTAAGAAAAATCATCAGTAGCTCTAGAACAGTGCTGTCTAATTGAAATATGATAAGAGCCAAATATGCAATTTAAAATTTTCATATGGTCCACAATTAGATTTTTTTAAATGATGGTATGACTTTCTGTCTTCAGATTGAGCTAAGAGAACGAGAAATAGAAAGACTGTCGGGTACTTTGGATGGTGGTCGCTCCCCTGATGTCCTGTCTCTGGAGAATAGAAATAAAACCAATGAAAAGCTTATTGCTCATTTAAATATTCAGGTAATGGCTCTTATGATCATTTCAGTAAGTATATGAAATTGTAACTGTTTTTAATGGTCTGTGGGTTTGTAAAAGTAATAAGGTTGTTCACTGAAGTATTATTTACAGTAGGAAAAAAAATTGATAGAACCAAAGTATCAAGAAATACATTGCAGTTATTGAAAAACCTTGTTATGGAATATTTAATGATGTAGGAATTAAGATATATCATAATGTTAAACATTTTTTTAAAAATGAACTTCAGGCAAAGTCTGATTTTCAGTTTGCTTTTAAAAAAAATCTATGTATTTGGAAAGGGAAAATACTGAAAGAATATACTAACAAAACTTATCTTTGTGTAATGGATTATTCTAGCAGATGGCGTTTTTATTTTTAAAAAATTTTTGACTGTATACCTTTTATAATGTAAAAAAGATGATTTTAATATATGTAAATTAAATTTATACCTTTTATCGACTTAGGCTATGCATTTGACTGAAGGGTGGAAGAGCAAGAGAGTTCCATAAGGCATGGCACATGAACTTTAGAAGTTTAGGTGTGTCAGAGCTGCCTGAGCTGTAACTAGAATAAAATAAGTAAGAAATATCATCAGTAGCTCTAGAACAGTGCTGTCTAATTGAAATATGATAAGAGCCAAATATACAATTTAAAATTTTCTAGTAGTCAGATTTTATAAGGTAAAAACCAAAATTTTAATTATACTGATATATTTACCATTATACTCAAAATCTTATTCACCTTTTAATGTTTTTTACATTTTTTTTTTAAACCAGGATTTGGAAATCGTGTATATTTTATATTTATAGTGCATCTCAGTTTGGACTAGCAACACTTCAAATGCTCAGTAGCCACATGAAGATAGATGCTAGAGGCCTCCATATTGGACAGCACATTCTAATATCATTGTGATATTCTTGTCATGCTTTTAGAACTCTGTGTTGGAAGAAAATTCACACAAATTTCTTACTTATCCTTTTCTTCTGTGCATGAAAATAAAGCCAATGGATATATATTTTTTCATTAAACATTGTCAGTTTTACAAATAAAATAGTATTTAAGTTTATAAATATAAAATAGCTGTGGTTTTAATTTAAAATATAACTTTTTGAAATATTATTTTGAAAGTTCAGTATTCAGCATAATTACCCAATTCATATGCCTTATGAATTACAAATTCAATTTAGGTTGACTTTCTTCAGCAAGCTAATAAAGACCTGGAGAAGCATATTCAAGAGCTTATGAAAACCAAGGAAACAGTGACGACTGAAGTTGTTAATTTAAGTAACAAAAATGAAAAACTCTGCCAAGAATTAACTGAAATAGACCAGTTAGCACAGCAGTTGGAAAGACATAAAGAAGAAGTACTTGAGACTGCTGATAAAGAACTTGGGGAAGCAAAGGTAATGATGTATTTAGGTTGTGAAAGTATTATTGTAGTATCCTAGAACACAGTGATGTCCCTATCCAGGTTGTTTATTTTGTTGTGTTTTTCATTTTTGTTTTGTATTTAAGATTTTCTTAAGTTTTGTTTATACCCACTAAATGATTGCATTTATTCTGGCCTGCTGGGAGTTTTTCTGAAGCATATTCTAGTCTTGGGATAGACCATTAAACTCTGTCCTGTTTTCCTTTAAGATTTCTATCTGTCTTTTATCTGCAGTGGGAGAGATTCTTCTGAAGTTTATGTTGCCATTTTTTTGTTCAAGAATCATTTAAAGGTGTCTTTTAAAACTGTATGACATTGTGCATTTCAAAGTTGATAGCTCACTTTTTTCATTTTTAAATTAAAATAGATGCAAAGCATGAAATTTCCAGTCTGATTTTAGATATAGCCAATGAAATCTAAATGACCCTTTCTGCTTGAAATTTTCACAAAATTTTATTTTAACATTTTATGCTTAAATAGCTTTAAAAAATTTTTTTTAGTCGTAGATGGAGATAATACCTTTATTTTATTTATTTATTTTTACTTGGTGCTGAGGATCAAACCCAGTGCCTCACACATGCCAGGCAAGAGCTCTACCACTGAGCCACAACCTCAAGCCCTTAAATATCTTTTTATATTCACTATTATACCTGTTTGGAATAAAAAGTATTCAAATTAAAATTTTTTATTTAAAAAAATTTCCTATAACTATAAAGTTCAAACTGTTAACATTTTCCTCAGAAAAATGTTAATAATTGGGGGTAAACGTGATCATAATACCACAAGTGTTGATAAATTTTAAAAAAGATAAAATTAAGTTTATTGGAAATACATCTATTAATGAAATATAATGAGAGAGACAATATGTCTTATTTAAAGCTTTTAGCTAATCCCAACATTTCAGCATTTCAGCTCGTTTTTGATAGAGGGAGTAATGCTGAACTCAGGGCCTTGCACTTGCTAGGCAAGTATTCTGCCACTGAGCGACCTCCCCAAGACCTTCTAATTAATCTTTTTATCTGGTATTCCTAAAGTTGTTGTTGTTGTTGTTGTTTTTTAATATCCCGAAGCAGTGTGCCATTGTGACATAAATGAAGTATAAGCCTTTCTTTGGAAGAGTGTGAAAGGGAAAGTAGAAATGGATAACTTACATGATACTGAGGCTGAAAGCAAGTTCTTAGGTATTCATTTTTAAGAAGCACTGTATGTGCAAATTAAGTATCCAACTATTGAATCCTTAAAACTGTGTACATACCAGAGTTTTACATAATACTTGGGAACTCTTTTTGCCAGGAATATAATTGAAGACCACACTGCTCTATATCACTGAACTGGTTTTATACAATGTAACCTCCACTAATTAATGTACTGGAAAGAAAACTCCCTCAATATAATAAAAACCATTTATGAACAGTCCACAATAAACATCAAACTCTGTGTTGAAAGACTGAAAACTTTCTTTAAAATAACAAACAAGTCTACAATACATACTTTCATCCCTTCTGTTCAACATAGTACTGAAAGTCCTAGCCAGAGCAATATGGTAAGAAAAAGAAATAAAAGGCATGTAAATTGCAAAGAAAGAATAAAATAATCTCTATTTACAGATAATATAATCTTTAGATCTTTAGATTCCATACACATGAAAGGTAATAAATTTAATAAGGTTATAAGTTACAAAACAAAACAAGATATGATTTTATACACTAATAAGAAATCAAAAAAGGAAATTAAGAAATGTTACTATAGCATCAAAAAGAATGGAATTTTAGGAATTTAACCAACAAAGTGAAAAACTCAGCATTTGAAAACTACAAAACTGCTGAAAATTTAAAGAAGTTACAGATAAATTGAAAGACATTATTCATGGATTGGAAGACTTAATATTCTTAAACTGTCCAAAGCCATCTATAGATCCAGTGCAATTCCTATCAAAAATTTCAATGGCATTTTTTTCAGAAAAAGAATAAAATTTATACAGATCTCAATAGACCCCAGATAGCCAAAGCCATTTTATTTTTCCTTTTCTTCCCCTCTGTGGTTATAAGTGTTGAACCTAGTACCTCACATATGCTATTCAAGCACTTTACCAGTGCTACACCCCCAGCTCTTTATATATTTTGAGACAGGGTCTCTTTTAAGTTGCTCAGGCTGTCCTGAACTTGGGATCTTCCTGCCTTGGCCTCCCAACTTTATGGGATTACAGGCATGTGCCACTGCAACTGACAAAACCTCTTGCAAAAAGAAGGACATTATTAGTACAGTTTTGGTTTTGCTGCTGCTTTTTAAAAATCCTTTTTTAAAAAATTATATTTTTAAAAAATGTTTTTATTAGTGCATTATTGTTATACTTTGTTCTGCTTTTGTGACTTTAGTTCCATTGCAATACTATAATATCTCATCCCTCTCTTTTTCTACCTCCTTTTGCATCTTGTGTTTCTGCACACAATATACAAACATGGTTTCTCATAGCCCATTGACAATGCTTCAGAAATGATAGCTTGGTTCAATAAAAGATTCATATTGGGTCATAATATTTTAATCTTGGCATTCTGCTCTTCAGTTGCAAAGCAGAGGAACCAAATTGGTAAAAGCATGTGAAGAGAAAACAAATAGAATAGGAAATGATAGTACCATAGGACATGTTCTAAACCCAGGGTCCAAGGAAGTCCTACAAATAAATGTACAGGAAAAAAAGATTTGGGAGGCTGGGGCTGTAGCTCACTGGTATAGTACTTGCCTCACATGCGTGAGGTACTGGATTCAATCCTCAGCACCACATAGAAAGGGACAGGTAAAGATATTGTGTCCATCTACAACTGAAAAAATGAAAGAAGAAAAAAAGATTTTCAAGTGGTCCTTTTCTTTCGGATGTTATAGATAGGTCCCTGTAAGCATTCAGGACACCACAATATTAAAGAGAATCTTCTTTGTTGAAAATGAGTGAAAGCCTCAGATCTTACTAGTGAAGGGGAACACATGAACCACTAGAAAAATTACTTGATCTTATTGCATTATGACTTAGTAATAAGTATTCTTAGACTTTTAAGTGTTTACCTAACAGACTTTTATTCCTAGAAAGAGATTAAAAGAAACCTCTCTGAAATGCGGAATCTTGAGGAAACAATGGCAAAACTTCAACTGGTAAGTTAATGTCATATTGAATTGCCAGCATTTTCAGAAAGAAAAGTTTTGTGTTTTATTTTATATATTTTATATATTTTATATATATATATATATATATATATATTTTTTTTTTTTTTAATTGAGATATAATTTAAATATCACAATATTCTTTTTCGGGGTTGGGGGATACTAGGGATTGAACTCAGAGGCATTCGAGCACTGAGCCACATCCTCAGCCACATCCTCAGCCCTATTTTGTATTTTATTTAGGGACAGGGTCTTACTGAGTTTCTTAGCGCCTCACTTTTTGCTGAGGCTGGCTTTGAACTCAAGATCCTCCTGTCTCAGCCTCCCAAGCCACTGGAATTACAGGCATGCGCCTGTGCACCTGGCTACAATATTAATTTTTTTTAAGTATACAATTCAGTGGTTAGAATAGTCATAAAGCTGTGCAACTATCACTACTATATAATCCTAGAACAGTTTTTTTAAAACTTTTTTTATAGTTGTATATGAACAGAATGCCTTTATTTTGTGTATTTTTATGTGGAACTAAGGATTGAACCCAGAGCCTCACACGTACTAGGCAAGCGCTGCCACTGAGCTATAGCCCCAGCACCCATTAGTAGTCACTCTTCATTCCCTTCTCATCGCAACCGCTCTCATGTACTTTTTTTTTTTTTTTTTTTTTTTTTTTGTGAAAGAGATAGAGGTAGAGAGAGAGAGAATTTTTCAATATTTATTTTTTAGTATTTGGCGGACACAACATCTTTGTTTGTATGTGGTGCTGAGGATCGAACCCGGGCCGCACGCATGCCAGGCGAGCGCGCTACCGCTTGAGCCACATCCCAGCCCTCATGTACTTTTAATTTGTATAGATTTGTCCATTCTGACTATTTGATATATATGGAACCTTACAGTATATGGCTTCTTTCACTTAGCATAATGTTTTTTTTTTTTGTTTTGTTTTGTTTTTTGGTGGTGGTGGTGGTACTATAGGTTGAACCCAGGGTCATTCCACTACTGAACCACTTTTAAAAAATTTTATATTTATATCTTAAGCCCTTTTTATTTTCTTAATTTTGAGACAGGGTCTAAGTTGATGAGGCTGACCTTGAACTTGAAATCCTCCTGCTGAGTTGCTGAGATTACAGTTGTGTGTCACTGCACCTGTCAACATAATGTTTTCAAGGCTTATGCATGTTGTAGCATATGGTAGTACTTCCTTCCTTTTATAGCTGAATAATATTCTGTATAGATATACTACAATTTTATATTTTTAGAACTCTTTAATCTTTTATATGTTTATAAGTAAAATTCAAATTTGAAAACCTGTTAGGAATTTTACATTCTTTGAAATGACTGTATGACCTATCAGTTCACTAATATTAAATCAGAAGTTGATAATTACTTGTAGTATTTGCTATTGTTAAAAAGCACTCAAAATTGGTGCAACCCGTCTTGAAAGCGGTATGGAAATTTCTGAAAAACTTGGAATGGAACCACCATTTGTCCCAGTTATCCCACTGCTTAGCCTATACCAAAGGACTTAAATCAGCATACTACAGTGATATAGCCACATCAATGTATATAGCAGTTCAATTTATAATAGTTAAGCTATAGAGCCACTCTAGGTGCCTATCAACAGACAATGGATAAAGAAAATGTTGTACATATATACAATGGAATATTATTCGGCCATAAAGAAGAATGAAATGATGGCATTTGCAGGTAAATGGATGGAACTGGAGACTATTACGCTGAGTAAAATAAGCCAGTCTCCATAAAACCCAAAGGCTGAATGTTCTCTCTGTATGCATATGCTAACTCACAATAAACTGGTGGAGGAGGGGGAAGAATAGAGTTCACTGGATTAGACAAAGGGGAATAAAAGGAAGGGAGGGGGATGGGACAAGGAAAGACAATAGAATGAATCAGACATAACTTTCCTATGTCAAATATGAATACATGACCAGTGTAACACCACATCATATATAGCAACTAAAATGGAAAGCTATACTCCACGTATGTATATCAAAATACATTCTACTGTAACGTATAACTAAAAAGAACAAACAAAAAAATTTAAAAAGAGAGAGCAGTTTGAAGAAAATGAGAATCAAAAACCTTAAAAAGGGAGGAAATTAACCCCTCATCAAAAAAAAATTTTTTTTAAACCACTCATTCCTCTTTTAATAGCTTTGGTATAAGCAAATTATTTTCCTAGTCATACTGCTTCTTCTGATTGTCTTCTAAGGGAAAAAATAATAATCTTGATGGCAGAAACTTGATATAGCATACAGTCTGGAACCAGCAGAAAGAATGTCTTGCATACAGTGTGAATTGGCTGCTCATCCAAAAGATTGAGTTTTTTTTTTTAATAGCCTATTAAATTGGAAGACTTTCCTTTAAAATTAGAAACAAAGACTGATACTGATATACATGTTTTCTCATTATATAATGCTATATGTATATGCTGCACAAAGTAGATACTCAAATACTTGTTGATTTTTGTATAGAAACTGAACGACATATTTACCACAGTGTCTTCCTTTTTTATTCAACTTAACAAATCTTTAATTCAACTAAATAATGAATTAACTTTGTCTGGTAAATGTTGTCTACTCCTGAGTCTCATAAAATTCTTCCTTTGTGTCAATAAATGTAAAGTAGGTGTTTCAATGACGTTTTTGTTATGAACTCCATAAGGGCAAGGAATTTTTGTTGTTTTTTCTTTTTTTGTATACTCACTATAAATACTGTATTTGATTAATAATGCTTGTCTCACAACTGTAACCCAAGTTTCAGTAGTGTTGGATGAGATAAAATGTTGCTGTAGGTATTTTCTGACCTTTCTTATATTTTCATTAGTGCTGTGTTTTATGTATTTTAAGATAATAATGATGGTATTAATAGCTAACATTTATTAAGCATGGTGAATGTGCTGGATACTGCAAATTGCTTCAGATCTACAGATTGATCCTTAACAGTGAATCCTGGGTGTCCTGGTTTTACTAATCCGTTCTGCAAATGAGGCTGAGAGAATAACCAACATAGTTGTGAATTTATATGATAGATATGGTAGACAGAGAATAGTATGCCTTATACAGTTCTCTTTAAACATAAGTTTAAAAGTTTTTATTGCACAAGGACATGATTATTTAGGGCGGGTAAAAGGACAATATGCTAAACAAATTGGAAGAAAATAAAACCTAAGGATTCTACCATCCACAAAGGAGCATTATTATAATAATTGGGTTTTATAAGTACCATAAAAGTATGGTACTTATAGCTATAGTTGATAATTCAGTTGAAACTGTATTCAACTAATTAAAAGTATGTGTACACATATATATGTGAATTGCTGTTTTATAAATGTTCTTACAAAAATATGTATTTTACCTGTTACCTTTTATAGACCTATTATAAATAGTATTATATATTATATACTATATATTTATACCATGTAAATATATAATACTATATATTCATTTGTAAATATACTATGAATGTAAGTATATAGTATTATATATAATATAGTATATATAGTAGTATTATATATAAATATAAAATGCTATTAGAAATAGTATTATATATAATACTATTATAAATAGTGTTGTTTATAGGTACATATAATACTATATAAATATACCTATTATAAATAGACCTATTAATTATAGAATTAAATTTGCAGGAATTAAGTTTATGCCATAAAGAAAAGGAGAGACTAAATGATGAACTTCTTCTGAAATCAGACCTAGAAACTGTTGTACATCAGCTTGAACAAGAAAAGCAAAGACTTAGCAAAAAAATGGAAGGTTTTGCAGCTATAGGTAAGATTTAAAATGTTAACTAAGAAGTGACAGTGGTTTGTTCTTCATATGTTATCTTTCATAGTATGTGATAGTTCATTCATTCACTTAATGAGTATTTCTTCAGTGATTACTATGAACTAGAAACCATGATAGCTACTATAGATAAAGTACAAATCTCAAGGACCTTAAGAATTCTTTTACATTTTGACTCATTGGTACAAGGAATCTTCTTGAATACTTTGCAATGGAAGTATATTTTTCTTTGAGATAGAGAGAGAACAGAATTAAGACTAAGAAGACCAGTCAGAAAAAGAAAATTATAGAATCTTTTTTTGGAAATACAGTTGTATCAACTTAAAATGCACACTCACTGTTTCTGTTTGATCACCTACTACCCCTTAACTCCTCAATCCACTGTAGTTGGCCTGTCCCCATGTCACCAAAGAAACTACTATTGTTAAAGTCATTATTCTCCTCCATTATGCTAAATGCAATGGGTGTTTTTTTCATTTATTAGCTTGTTTGACTTCTTAGAATTTAACACAATTGTCTATCCTTTCTCACTCTCCTACTTTCTTCTTACCTCCTCCTGGTTATCCATTTGGATGAAATTTGTCAGTTCAGCCTCTGGTTTGCATTACACACTATAGCTTATGTCTTTCTGCTATAAGAATAATTATTTGGCCATGGTTGTGATTTTTATATTTGAATCCTTAGTGTTGTCATATAGTAAATGCTCAAAACATATGTGCTGAATGAATTAAAGAAGAGATGGGAGTGAATCAGAATACATCATGAAAATCATTCCATGCCCCAGAGTTGTAATTAAATTGAGTTGCACTGCACAAAATTTAAGCATTCAGTTACTTTTGATTTCTGTGTTAAAAGTTAATAATTGTGCTTTTCTGAAGGAAGATGAGTTATTGTGATCTCTTTGTATATTCGTGTACTATATTAAATTCAAGGTTAATATTAAATTTGTACATATTATGATTAATTATTTGCAGGTATATTTTCTTCCAGTACATTTTCAGTTCCCTAGAAGATACCATGTGGGAATTTATTGTTTCATTTTGTAGTACTAAATAGTGTCCATCTTGTGATAGACAAAAGCTGTGGGGGACTTTGACTTTTTGGACTTTATTTAAACATTTGATATTTTGCCCCCCCCCCTTCAATATTTACCTTTGATATATCTGCTACTTGCAGGTGATACATAAAACAGCTCAGAATTTCTAGTAGCTTTCATACTAAAAGCTATTGATATTATTTATTTGGCTAATCCACATTTTATATACAACATCATTTTAAGATTTAACCACTTTAATTTGCAGAAAAAGAACTTACTTTGGAAGTTGAAAGGATGAGGCTAGAACATGGAATAAAACGTCGAGACAGGTCACCTTCTCGTTTAGATACATTTCTGAAAGGTATAGAAGAAGAACGAGATTATTATAAGAAAGAACTAGAAAGACTCCAACATATAATACAACGAAGATCTTGCTCTACAAATCATTTCGCACGTGAAAAACATTCAATATTTAAAACACTAGAAAAGGTAATATCCTTTTTATAAGAGTAATCAATAAGGCAAGAGAGGATCAATAGGAAACTTTTCTGCTTTATGATTGTGTTAACTTTATTCGTAGTTGCTTTTAAAAAGCCCCTAATTTTGATTTTTGTTTTTGTCTGTGACTTGTAGCGTAGGAACCCTGCGTTAATTAGGGACACTACCCAACTACAGCATTTAGCATTCTCATTTTCTGGAAATTAAGAAAAGATTGTATAACTGAGTCATGGGAGAAGTACAGAGGCTTCTGGGTTTCTAGAAACTGGAGCTCAGGGACTCAGGCTGCTGGACATATTCTCTTTTTTTTCTAGAATTTACTTTCTCTATTAACTACATTTTCTCTGTGGTAGCAGAGTGGCTTTGTCCAGATGGCAGACAACATGGCTTCCTGTCATTTCCATCCTTGGTTGGACCAGTTAGGAAGATGTGTCACATTCTGCTACCAGACAACATCTTCACCACAAACCATACTGTGGGAAAAGCGGTAGATATTGAAAGCTGAACAGATTATTCTGCCCATCTTCTACAACCACATTTGCAAGTTGATAGATTAAAGATGTTACTTTGTTTTTGTTTTTTAATTTTTTTTTGTTGTTGTTAGTTGTTTATGGATAGCATGCCTTTATTTTATTTGTTTATTTTTATGTGGTGCTAAGGATTGAACCTAGTGCCTTACACATGCTAGGCAAGTGTCCTGCCGCTGAGCTTCAGCCCCAGCCCTAAAGATGTTACTTTGAAAGCCAGGTATGATGTTGCATACCTCTAATCTAAGCTATTCAGTGGGTTGAAGCAAGAGGTTCAAGGTCAGCTGGGCAACTTAGCAAGACTCTATCTCCAAAAAAATATTTATTTTGTATATATTATTTCTTATTTTTCTTTTATGCTATTGGAAATCAAATCCAGGGTGTTACACATGCTAGGCAAACACTGTACCACTGAGCTACATTCCCAGCCATTTTTTTTTTCAATATTGAGGATTGAACCTGAAAAGGTAATATCCTTTTATAAAAGTAATCAATAAGGCAAAAGAGGATCAGTAGGAAACTTTTCTGCTTTATGATTGTGTTAACTTTATTCGTAGTTACTTTTAAATATCTACCACTAAGTTACATCCCTAGTTCTTTTCATGTTTTGTTTTTTTTGAGACAGAGTCACTGATTTGTCAAGGCTGTCCTTAAACTTAAAATCTTCCTGCCTGGGCCTCCCAAGTAGTTGGAATTACAGGCATGTGCCACCACGTTTGGCCTGTATATATTTTCTAATTACATCTCCCATTGTATGTATTATTTAATGGTGACCACGATTCATGAGAGGTTAAAATCATGTCACTATTTTAAGGCTTAAATTATTTTCAATGTTTGTTGAGTATCATTTGAGTTCTTTAGATTTTTTTCTTTCTTTTTTTCTTTTTTCTTTCTTTTTAGCTTTGGATTTATATGTGTCCCAAAAGCATATATGACCCTAACATTATCTACATAGTAGGTAAAACTCGGGGAATTTAGGGAGAAAGTCATTAAAATCAAAATATTTGATTTTAGAATTGGATGATTTTACCAATTCTGTCGTCTTTTCTCTGTGGATCCTGTGTCCATTGTCAAATAGTTTTGTGTTTTCTGATTAGACTTTTTGCTTTTTAACCTCATTTCCTAATGACCGAATTTTGATTGACAGTTGTATAAATAGTTTGATTTTTTTAGTGTGAACGCTGTCTAATTTATTATTATCAGAATGAAGTGAAAGGGAACTATAGTGCAAGTTAATTTTTATCATTGAATTGTTTATCTTTCATATATACTTAGAATGCAGGAGGGGGAGTTATAAATTGATCGTTTTTATTGTGTAGAAGACTCTTCCACAAAATGGTTGATTGGTTTAATTGATTAAGAATTTATTAAGAAGCATTGAGTAGATAAGTATCTCAAAGCTTTTAACCTAAGTATTTGATTTAGTTGCTTGGTATAAATTCACAATTGAAAGACAAGTGATAGATATTGATAAGGTATTGGTATAATTAGGAGATACCTTTTCTTCTGTTCAACTTAATTTTTTTTCTTGAAATTTTATATTACCTAGCATAGACTAAGAATTAATTTTCTAGAGATCAGAAATTCAGGGTGTTCAGAGTATTTTAGAGTTCCAGTAATAAATTGTGGGTATGGTAGGGAATAATGGTTAAGTACATTATTGAAAAATAAGGCAATTGTGAATCCTGGGAACTGGGGAGTACATTGCCTACCTAAAATTCAGTTACATTTCGAAATATTTTGTATTTTTTTTAATATCTTTACGTTTATTTTTTTAAATTTTTATTTATTTTTTAAATTCTAATTTGTCATGTATGACAGCAGAATTCGTTGCAATTCATACTAATAGAGCACAATTTTTCATATCTCTGGTTATATACAAAGTGTATTCACACTATTCGTGTCTTCATACATGTACTTTGGATAAAAGATAGGAAAAGAAGGACTCAAATTAGCACTGTTTGCTGACGATATGATTCTATACCTAGAAGACCCAAAAAGTTCCACCAGAAAACTTCTAGAACTAGTAAATGAATTCAGCAAAGTAGCAGGATATAAAATGAACAACCATAAATCAAAATCATTTCTGTATATCAGTGACAATCCTCTGAAAGAGAAACGAGGAAAACTATCCCATTTACAATAACCTCAAAAACAAACAAACGAAAAAAAACTTGGGAATCAACTTAACGAAAGAGGTAAAAGACCTATACAATGAAAACTACAGAACCCTAAAGAAAGAAATTGAAGACCTTAGAAGATGGAAAGTTCTACCTTTCTCTTAGATGGGCGGAATTAATATAATCAAAATGGGCATACTACCCAAAGCACTATACAGATTTAATGTAATTCCAATCAAAATCCCAATGGTATTTCTCATAGAAATAGAAAAAGCAGTCATGAAATTCATCTGGAAAAATAAGAGACTCAGAATAGCTAAGGCAATCCTTTGCAAGAAGAGTGAAACAAGTGGCATCGCTATTTTTTTTTCTTCTTTTTTTTTTTTTTTTTGTTGTTTTTGGTTCCAAGATTTGAACCCAGGGGCACTTAACCACATCCCCAGCCCTTTTTATATTTTATTCAGAGACAGGGTCTCATTAAGTTCTTAGGGCCTTGCTAAGTTGCTAAGGCTGACTTTGAACTCACCATCCTCCTGCCTCAGCCTGCTGAGTTGCTGGAATTCCAGGTGTGTGCCACCATGCCCAGCTATTATTTTGTATTTCTTTCTAAAACTGTATTTGCTACTAGCTATGAGTTTTCAATTCCTACCTTTTTACAAACTGTTTTAATGTAGTTTCTTGGGATTGTAACAAACCAGAAAACAAATTGACATTTTTAGTGTCACTAATTTTATCAACAAAACCTTGTTAATTCTGTTTTTTTTTTTGTTTTGTTTTGTTTTTTTTTGGTGTGTGTGTGTGTGTGTGTGTGTGTGTTGGGAAGACACCACCCATCCACGATGGTTCCTATTGGCAGTTTTGAGGATAGTCTGGGGAAAGTGCTTTGGAGTTGGAGGCATAGTGCAAGTTCCAACTCCAACTCCACAAACTGGCATTACTCCATGCAAACCTGTCTCCTCATTTGATGAATAGGGAAACTAGCTACAACTTATTGTGAAAATTAAATGAGATAATTTGTATAAGGGTCCAACATAACACATAGTTCCCAATACATGGCTCATTTCTTTATTATTTGCTGGTTTGAAACAAATCAGATCTAGGTAGAAAGTTCAGTAGATAGATACCAAGTGCCTGCTATGAGAATACAGAGATGAAGAAGACAGTTCCTGTCCTTGGAGCCTTCACATTGCATGTGTATGTCACATTTGTATGCTGGGAATAATAAAGTTGTGGAGGGGAATTAATGATTATATATTAACAATAATATAAATGTAGATATTTAAACTGAACACAGTGGTGCTGTAATCCCAGCTACTCAGGAGGCTAAGGCAGGAGGATTGCAAGTTTGAGGCTAGCCTCAGAAACTTAGCCAGATTCTATCTCGAAACATAAAAAAAAGGACGAAAGATGTAGCTCAGTGGTAAAGTACTCTAGGTTTAATCCGTATTACCAAATAAATAAATAAATACATTGAAATGTAGATATTTAAACAAGATATATGTAGAGTAGAGTTAGAGTTTTTGCTGATGTAAGCCAAATTATGTTCAGGGAATTTGTCTTATTAGGTACCATACTGAGCACCAAACTTGTAGTGAACAAGACCAAATACCTATCATGTCCTTCATAGAACTTAAATTTTAGTGGAACATACTTTAAAAACAAGATTTTTTTTTTTTTTCAGTTCCAGGAATTGAATAAAGGGCCTCATGCTTGCTAAGTATGTGCGGTACCACTGAACAACATCCCCATCCTCTAACTTTTTAATCTCATTTATAATAAGGGTTAATGTAGAATGTATAGAAAAGATTCAGAACTAAAAGAACATAGAAAATCTAAATTAAACTAGAGAATCTGGAAGGATTCCTTGCAGAAAATGACTTTTAAGCCGAGACCTAAATAGTAATGGAAATAGACTGTTAAATCTTTATTCATTGAGCTCTCCTTTTCTAGAATCTGTATAGGCCAACTTTTTTCTGTAAGATTTTTAAATTTAGATAAGTTACAGTTTTCTTTACCAGTTTTAAGCCTTGATCAAGTCCTGAAATCCTGATCTGATTTTGTCCTATTAAACATCTTGCCTTTAAGGTGTCTAGGTAACTAATCTCATCTTTTATGCCTTGATTTTGCTTGTTAGACAAGAGGATAATTTATTTCCACATGGAAGGTGAGGGATATACCTCACAGCTATCTACCATTTATCAAGTCTACATTGATATTGTATGTGCAGTAGATACTGGATAATATAGGCCAGGACTCTTTCCACTGTACCAAATAATCAGATTATTCCTACTTGGGACTTCTACATTTAATATTTCAACATTAAAATACTATAAATTGGGCTGGGATTGTGGCTCAATGGTAGAGTGCTTGCCTTGCATGCGTGAGGCACTAGGGTCAATCCTCAGCACCACATAAAAATATTGTGTCCATCTATACTAAAAAAATTTTAAATAAGGTACTATAAATTTACCATTTTTAGTTTTCACGATAACAGTGAAGATAGTGGATCTTTCCTTTTTCTTTTCTCCTTTTTTTTTGTTGGTTACAATCAAACCCAGAGCCTCACACGTGCTAGGCAAGCACTCTGCAAGTGAGCTATATCCCCAGTCCAAGATAGTGAATATTTTGAATTGTATTGGAAAAGTAGCCTTATTCTTATTTTAGAAATGTTGGAAGTAATTGCTTAATTTGGTTAGTATCCTTAATATACATTGCCTTGTAGAATATTTACATTTGTCTAGTTCCAGAGATAGACCTCAGTAGGTGTGAAACTAGAACAATTGGTGTTGATGTGCTTGGGGAAATTGATCTTAATATTCAGTCAGAGAAAACACTGAGGAATACACTAGGCTATTAAAATTACTTGTACTGGGTGAATAAGCACATATAATAATACCTCCCTTATCCCTTCCCTGGAGAGGAAAGGATCCTTTATAACTAATGGTAAGTTTGGGATAGGTTTCAAAGTTTGTACGTATAGCAAATTTTTATATGCTGCTGATGCTTCTGGTCTAAGGTTATGCTGTAATTTTTTTTTTAATGTAGTTGAGATTGAACACAGGGGCCTCATACAGAGTTATACTTTAAATACCACTAATATGAACATCTCTAGTAGATGTTTGTCAAAGCATCTAAATGATTGTCAAAGCATCTGATGGAATCTGATCAGGTAGAATCATTGGCAATTGGGTCCTTTGCTGGAAACCTAAAGGCCAGGAAATTTGCCCAGTACTGTCAGTGCCTTCATCTACTCTCATTATAGATTAAAAAACAATTGTGTTCCTTAGTTACATTAAAGGAACTTATGTTCTTGTTGTCTGTTAGCTTCTTTCAGTCAGTCTCATCGCCATCATCTTTATGACAACCATGTAATAATGATGATTATAACAAATAATAATTTCTGTATTTTAATTATGTTTCAGGGTGATTATAATTCAGATATTCATCTGATTGCAAGAGAAAGAGATGAACTTCAGCGTATGCTAGAAAGATTTGAAAGATATATGGAAGATATACAGTCCAATGTTAAATTATTGACAGCAGAAAGAGATAAACTAAGTGTCTTATATAATAAAGTAAGAAGTTTGCTATAATTAAGCCAATAGATTATTTAGAACTAGCTAACTTTAATGGAATGTATATGTATTCTTCAGATTTCTGTAACATATGGACTTCCTTCATGATTAGATTTATACTTCTATGGTCAATTGTGTTCTCAAAGCAGAGATTTCCTTCTTTGTTTACATTCTTGCTCTTTTCTAGCCTATTTATGTGTATGGTCAATTAGAGATAGCCTCCTTCTAAAACTACCTGAGCAAGTCTTAGCCTGACTCTGAGCAAAATTTATCCCTGGGATTCATATGTGCCCCAGCATGCATCCCAGGTTTAAACTTGGGTAGCACCACTATTTGAAATATTGGCTATTAAAGACTTAACCTCAAGTGAAGAAACTGCTCGAGGGAAGAGAAAATTGGTATAACTTGGCCCCACTACAAAGCCTAATTTGTCAGAGGGCAAGGTGGGGCCGAACAAAGCCTGGAGTCTATCATCAAAATTTTTCCAATACCAATACCTATGAAGTCTTGTTGCTACTTTTACAGGAAGAGAAGACATGTAAGTTAAAAGGTCCACTTAAAAGAGCTATTTTCACTTTTTGATCTTTTTTTAGGATTTAGTAGTATAAATTGATCTACTTCTATTATTTCCTTGCAGCTGGCATGGATTTTAGCTTTCTTTGTCAACTTAGTTAATTCCTATTTGTCTGCAATCTAGTTTCCAACATTTTGTGGCTGCAGCCTATCAATCTTCTTGTTCTTTTGTTGTTTTTGATTTTATTTAATTTTGATCCTTTTGCTCTCATTTTGTTGGGATTTGGGAAGAGAGTAAAAGTACCATGTGTTCAGTATGCCTTTTTTTAAAACAGGGAACATATCCCAAGTGTTTTTTATTTATATCTTTTAATTCTTTAAGGCTCAAGAAGAATTATCTGCACTAAAACAGGAATCCACTCAAAGCATAGGGCCAAATAATCTCCTTAGTCTTATGGAAAAGGAAAAAGAACTTGCATTATCTGACTTAAGAAGAATTATGGAAGAAAAGGAAGCTTTAAAAGAAAAATTAAAAGTAAGTAGTAAAATTAAATTTTTTTGAAAGGTAACTTATTAAGAAAAATATTTTTGTTCATATATTCTGTGAAGTTACAATTCTGAATATATAATTAAAATGTGGTTGACAAATTATAGTCATGCTGGCCAAATTCAGGCCACCTTGTTTGTGTATGTATGGCCTATAGCTAAAAAGTGTTTTTGCATTTTTTAAACTGTTGAAAAATGCCAGGTGTGGTGGTACACTCCTATAATCCCAGCTACTTGAGAGGCTAAGGTAGAAGAATAGAAAATATGTGTCCAGCTGTGGCCAGTAAGCTGAAACCCTGTCAAAAAAAATCAAAGGCTGAAGATGTAGCTCAGTGGTAGAGTGCCCCTGGTTCAGTCCTAAGTACTGAAAAAATCAAATCAAAAGAATTTTGTTTATAATGTAGTACTGAAATTTATTTACATATTGTCTAAAGCTTTTTTGTGCCACAATGGCAGAGGTAAGAAATTGCAACAGAGACATTTGGCTCTAAAGCCTAAGATATTTAGTATCTGTTTTTTTTTTATTATTATCAGAAATCAAAAGGAAATTTTTCATATGAAGATGGACATCTTTTTTTTTAATAACAATTTTATGGAGTTTTTTAATACTATACAGTTCACCCATTTAAAATGTACAATTCAGTGGTTTTCATTTTATTGACAGATTTGCATGATCATTTCCACAATAAATTTTAGAAATTTATCACCACCACAGTAAGAAACCTTCATACCCATTAACATCACATCCTATTTCTCCCAAGTTTCCTTAGTCATAGGCAACCACTAATTCACTATCTGTCTCTGTGCATTTGCTTACTACGATGTTCCATATAAATTAAATAATGGCATATATGAATCTTTAAATATTTATTATTATTATATGTGTATATTTTTGCAGTGACCTTTGCACTCCACCACTTGGTCATTTCAACAGATACCAAAAAGATAAGTGCTTGTGCTAAAAGCTACCATATTGCATAGACACTAAATTCCCAATCCAAATAAGTAAGTTTTTAGGTCTGACTTCTCTCATGGGCATGATGTTTTCAAGGTTCATCAAGAATGATGCTGTTATGAACATTTGTATACAACTTTTTCTGTGGATGTATGTTTTAATTTGTCTTATGTATGTACCTGGTCATATGGTAACTCTGCGTGATTTGCTAAATTTGTCTTTAACCATTGAGAGGCCAGGCTGTTTTCCAAAGTTGACTATACCATTTTTTATCCCACCAGTAATGATTAAGGGTTCTAATTTCTCCACATTCTCACTAATACTTGTTGTTATCTTTAATGGGAGTGAAGTATCCATTATGATTTTTATTTGCATTTCCCCTGTGGCTAATGATGTTGAGCATCTTTTTATGTGCTTATTTACCATTTTTTAATCTTTTTTTTTTTTGCCTCATATTAGCTTCTAAGAGTTCTTTAATAACAGCTCCAATAGATTTGTGGTTTGCAAAACATTCCCCCATTCTGTGGGTCATCCTTTTACTTTTTTTTTTTAAGTTGCAGTTGGACAAAGTACCTTTATTTTATTTACTTTTCTGTGATGCTGAGGATCAAACCCAGGGCCTCGCACATGCTAGGTGAGCACTCCATTGCTGAGCCACAACCCCAGCCCCCTTTTACTTTCTTAATATGGTATCTTTGAAGCACAAAAATTTTTAATTTTGATGAGGTTCAATTTATTCTTTTATTACTTGTGCATTTGGTTTCATATCTAGAGGCAATATTTTGTATTTCCTATTTTCTCCCCAAAACATATTTACTAATACCTGTAAAGCACATAATGGTGCTCAGCATATTGTAAGTTCTAAATGTTGTTATTATGGAATCCATAGTTTTCTAGCAATTAATATTATGAAATTAATACTTTGAAAATAGCAGTTAAAATCAGGAATAAATGCAAGCATTTTAAAGGTAGTCTTTATGTCACAAATTTTCAGTTAATTTTTTCATTCCAAAAATACAGTTTAAGAATGCTTCTAATTGCGATCTTTTGGAATACTGCCTTCCAGAAATTGTTCTCTTATAAAAAAAAAAAAAGTGTTAAAATTACCAAATAAAAAACTTCTGTGCAATATGGCAGCTTTTAGCACAAGCTACTCACTCACTCTTTTCCATATCTGTTGATGCTCAAGGAATTTAAAAATATGATTTAAAAAGTGCAGTACTGGAAACTGGAAAAAAGCAATATTCAAATTACCAGAATACTTCTGGGTTGTGGGAAACAGTATTTGGTGATTTTATGGTAGATCTTTTACTTAAAAACTGAACTAATAATCTCAGTCCTTGAGCTTCCTCTAGTATCTTTGTTATTCTACTACTCACTCATTTGTCAAATCCAGGCAACTTTACTAAGCTCTCCCTGAAATCTCTTGTATTTCAGTTAATAACCAAGTCCTATCAGTGCTACCTCTTAAATAATGTTAAATATTTAGTAAGCCTTTCCCCATGTGGGAGATTCTGTTCCAAATGCTTTTTATATGAACTCTCTCAGTAAATCTTTTGTTTAATTGGCAAAATTATTTTATTTATTTTTGTTGATTTTTTTAAAAAAAAATCAATGACAGTAAAATGCATTATAATTCTTATTACACATATACAGCACAATTTTTCATATCTCTTTATATGAAATATAAAGTATGTTGACACCAATTGATATCTTCATACATGTACCTCGGATAATGATGTCTATCACATTCAACCATCCTTGCTAATCCCCAGCCCTCTCCCTTTCCCTCCCACTCCTCTGCCCTATTTAGAATTCATCTATTCCTCCCATGCTCCCCCTCCGTACCCCACTATGAATCAGCCTCCTTGTATCAGAGAAAACATTCGGCATTTGTTTTTTAGGGATTGGCTAATTTCACTTAGCATTATCTTCTCCAGTGCCATCCATTTACCTGCAAATGCCATGATTTTATTCTCTTATTTCTGAGTAAAATTCCATTATGTATGTATGTCACATTTTTTTTTTATCCATTCATCCACTGAAGTACATCTAGGTTGGCTCCACTGTTTAGCTATTGTGAATTGTGCTGCTATAAATATTGATGTAGCTGTGTCCCTATAGTATTCTGTTTTTAAGTTTTTTGGGTATAAACCGAGGAGAGAGATAGCTGGGTCAAATGGTGGTTCCATTCCAGATTTCCAAGGAATCTCCATACTGCTTTCCAGATTGGCTACACTAATTTGCAGTCCCACTAACAATGTATGAGTGTACCTTTTTCCATATCTCTCATCATGCACAAAACTCAAAGTGGATCAAGGACCTAGGAATTAAACCAGAAATTCTGCATCTAATAAAAGAAAAAGTAGGCTCTAATCTTCATCATGTGGGATTAGGCCCCAGCTTCCTTAATAAGACTTCTATAGCATAAGAATTAAAACCAAGAATCAATAAATGGGATGGAGTCAAACTAAAAAGTTTCTTCTCAGCAAAAGAAATAATCTGTGAGGTGAATAGAGAGACTATATCTTGGGAGCAAATTTTTACCCCTCACACATCAGATAGAACACTAATCTCTAGGGTATATAAAGAACTCAAAAAGCTAAGCACCAAAAAAACAAATAACCCAATCAACAAATGGGCCAAGGACCTGAACAGACACTTCTCAGAAGAGGATATACAATCAATCAACAAATATATGAAAAAATGTTCGTCATCTCTAGCAATTAGAGAAATGCAAATCAAAACTACTCTCAGTAAATCTTCGTAAAGAAGCTTTTTACTGCTTAGAGGTAAGTTCTATGAGTTACAGTGAGTTTAAATAACTTTCAGAAGCTTTCCCAGCTGTAAGTCACAAGGAATCTGGCCCCTAAGTTCATGTTACTTTCATTTAAATTTGTTTACTTTTTTGTGTTTTCCTGCTACCATCTTATTTGGGTCATTAATCTGCATATCTATATTAATAGTTTCTTTACTTCACCTTGGGTCATTGTTATGCTTTGAATATGAGGTGTCCTTCAAAAACTCCTGTGTTAATACTGAATATTCACAGGTAAATGATTGGATTGTGAGAGTTGCAATCAAATTAGTCCATCCTAGTTTGAATGGACTGATTTGGTGGTGACTGTAGGCAGGTATGGTATGGCTGGAAAAGGTGGGCCTCTGCAGGTGTGTCCTGAAAAAGTTCGAGTTCTCTGTGGTTCCTTTTCTGTCCTCCCTCTCTCTGCTTCCTTCGGCCATGAGGTGAACAGCTTTCCTCTGTGGAGCCCTTAGGACATGATGTTCTGCCTCACTGTGGGCCCAGAGCAATGGAGTTGACTGACTGTGGACGGAAACCTCTGAAACTGTGAGCTCCAAATAAGTTTCCCTCCTCTAAGTCGTTTTTGTGAGGTATTTTGTTCATGACAACACAAAGTTGACTAAAACAGATTCTGAGAGGTGGAACCTCATCAGTGGATTAATTCATTTGATGAATTGATAATTTTAATTGACTACTGGGTATTAACTATAGGCAGGTGGGGCATGCCCCTTGGGTGTTATTTTTGTTTCTGGCTCCTTGCACATGGGTGTTTCTGGTTCCCCCCCCCCCCCCACTTCTTGAATGCCACAAACTGAGTAGCTTTCTGCTATTGTGTCCTTCCACCATGAGCTTTTCCTCACCTTGGGCCCAGAGCAGTGGAGTCAACTGATGATGAAGCCTGAAAGATTGAAATCTGAAACTATGAGCCCAAAGTAAACTGTTCTCCTCTAACTTGTTCTTGTCAGGATTTTTTTTGTGGGGGTAGGGGACTGGGTATCAGGGATTGAACTCAGTGACACTTAACCACTGAGCCATATCCCTAGCCCTATTTTGTATTTTATTAGAGATGGGGTCTCACTGAGTTGCTTCATGCCTCACTTTTGCTGAGGCTGGCTTTGAACTCATGATCCTCCTGTCCCAGCCTCCCGAACCACTGGGATTACAGGTGTACACGACTGTGCCTAGCCTTGTCGGGTATTTTAGTTACAACCATGAAGTGCTGACCAATACAGTCAATCTTTCAAAGATATAAGTCTGATCATGTCCCTTCCTATTTAAAATCTATTAACTTCTTTCCAAAGACTTCAGTATTTGGCCCTAGCTTCTTTTCTACATACTCACCTCTGCTGTTTGCCTCACTTTTCTTAACGTTCCAGACTTAATAGACTTTTTTTGCTTCTAACCTTCCATATGAAAGATTCCTTCACCCCTTCCAATTCCTTTGTCTAGCTAATTCTTATTCATCATTTATGTTCAGATTAAATGTCATTATTCAGACAAAAAAGAACATAGACATTAGATTCTTTTTGATATATGAGCATAAAGTTCTGGCCACATCAATGTTTACAGCAGCTCAATTCACAATAACTAAGTTATGAAGCCAACCCAGGTGCCTTTTAATAGACAAATAGATAAAAGAAATGTGGTGTATATACACAATGGAATATCAGTCTTAAATAAGAATGAAATTATGGCATTTGCCGGTAAATGGATGAACTGGAGACTATCATGCTAAGCAAAATAAGCCAATCCCAAAAAAATCAAAGGCTGAATGTTCTCTCTGATATGCAGATGCTAACACACAATAAAGGGGGAATGAAGAACAGAAGCTCATTGGGTTAGAGGGGAATGAAGGGGAGGGGTGCGGATGGGAATAGGAAACACAGAATGAATCGGACATAACTTTCCTATGTTCATATATGAATATACAGCCAGTGAAGCTCCACATCATGCACAACAAGAAAAGAATACTAATTAGAATAAATTATACTCCATGTATAAAGAACAAAAATAAGTAAATTTTTAAAAACTAGCCCTGTGTTTATACTGTTGACCAGCCTACTCTTGAAACTCTGATCTTCTGTCTGGTGTTGTATTCTATTTCCTGTCTTTCTGTTCTTGTATTTTTTTCCTTCATGCGCTGTTTTGCTTACATCTCTTATAGGGTATATTCTTAAGCTTGTTACTTAACCTACTGAACTTTTCCCTTCATAGTTGTGCTAATATAGGTTGACTTGTAAGTCTTTATGAATGAACCCATACCAGTCTGTGTCTTCTGCTGCAATCATGTATGGAGGTAGATAATGTAAAAACATGAGAACCTATTATGCTTTTTTTCTTCCTATACTTTTTATTGATGCATTATAGTTGTACATATTAATGGGATTTGTTCTTACATATTCATACATGCACACAAAGTAACAATATAATTTGGCCAATATCACTTCCAGCTGTCAGGCTTTTTTTTTTTTTTTTAAACCAAAAGCATGGTTTTTGTAAATTATCTAATGATTTTGTTTCTAAAACATTTCTGTTTTATCAAAAGATAAATATAATAGCATGTAGACTTACATTACTTACTTTGGTTGTTTTGCTTTATTGTCTGATATAAATGAACATTTTCTATAAAATTCTCTTTCAGAATATCCAGGACATGAATGTTTTTGGCAAAACAGAATTAGAGAAAACTATTGAACATTTGACATGTGTTAATCATCAGGTAATTTATCAAACCAAATTGGGGTACATTATGTATTGTATTAATGCCTATGTCAATTATGTTTTTTCAAAGTATTTTTTTAGTTATAGATGGATACAATACCTTTATTTATTTTTATGTGGTGCTGAGAATCAAACCCAGTGCCTCACATGTGCTAGGCAAGCGCTCTACCACTGAGCCACAACCCCAGCCCTCAATTATGGTTTTAATACAATATGTTTTTAAAATTACAAAGTAATATGCTAGTAATGTTGTGTAGCAGAGAATAGGAATATGTACACTCAAGGCTGATTACTTGGGTTCAAATCCTCCTTTGTCTCCTATCACCTATAGGCAAGTTACTTGACCTGTATGTCCCTCAATTTCTTCAAAATGTAGGAGTACTGTTAGTACTTCTTAGGGTTTTTGTGAAAATTAAATGGATTAATAATACATATGAAGAATTTAGAAGCATACTTGGGCCAGGTGTGGTGGCGCATGTCTACAATCTCAGCAACTCATTTGGTTGAGACAAGAGGATGGCAACTTTAAAGCCAGCCTCAGCAACTTAATGAGACTCTAAGCTACTTAATGAGACCCTCTCTCAAAATAAAAATGGCTGGGGATGTGGGTCAGTGGTTAAGCGCCCCTGGTTTTAATCCCCAAAAGAAGCAGAGTGTAAGCATTTGTTAGTTGTTAGTTATGATTATTGTGGTTTTGGTCTTATAAAAATAATTATATAATACAGTCATAGAGTAAAAAGTGAAATTCACCCTTGCTGTTCATTACAGTCATCTCTTAATATCCCCAGGGTATATCCATTCATATACCATAATCTGAAGATGCTAAAGTACGCTATATAAAATGGCATAATTCTTGCAAATAATCTGTGCACATTCTCTCATATACATTAAATCATCTCTAGATAATTTATAATGCCTAATACAATGTAAATGCTATATGAGTAGTTGTTATACTCTCTTGCTTAGTGAATAATGAATAGAAAAGGCTGTACATATTCAGTACAGATCCAACCATCATATTCAGTCTATAGTTCGCTGAGTCTGTGAATGTGGAACCCATGGATACAGAAGACCAACTGTACTCTCTCTAGAGATAGGATTTTTAACAATTTGGTGTGTTCCCAACAATCTTCTGTTTCATTTCAATTAAGTTCTATTACTGTTTTCACTGTTTTTATTTATTTGCCTTCTAATTCTGTCATTTGGGTCAGTTGACTTTTCTCCTTATCATGAATTATATTTTCCTGGGTTTTTTTTTTGTTTTGTTTTGTTTTTTGCATACCTTGTAATTTTAGATTGGATGCCACACATTATTGATTTTATTCTCTTGGTTGCTAAATAGTTTGTAGAATCGATACTCTTGTGGTTTGTTCTAGGATGCAGTTAAATCATAAGCAAAATAGCTTGTTCTATTCATTCTTCATTTTAAGCTTCATTAGGTGGAACCAAAGTAGCATTTAGTCTTGAGCTAATTTTGTTTTCACTACTGAGATAAAACTCTTTTAAATATGCTACGGAGCTAGGGGCTGTAGCTCAATGGCAGAGCATTTGCCTAGCATGTGTGAGGCACTGGGTTTGATCCTCAGTACCACATAAAAATAAACAAGTAAAATAAAGGCATTCTGTCTGTCTACAACTACAAATTTTTTTTAAATAAATAAATAAATATGCTATGTGTTGCTCTGTGAATTATAAGGTTTTCAAATGACTAATAAGAACAGGAACTATTCCTGGTCTTGTATTGTCATGTATTAATCATCAGGTAATTTATCAAACCAAGCAAATTGGGGTACATTATGTATTGTATTAATGCCTATGTCAATTATGTTTTTTCCTCTTCTTCTTCTTCTTCTTTTTTTTTTTTTTTTTTTGAAAGAGGAAAAATGATTTATTGCTTTGATAACAAAGGAGAACAACAAGGGACTTCTGTCCCAGAGGCTATGCTTCTCAAGTATTGTCACTTTTTTTAAAAATATATTTTTTAGTTCGACACAATACCTTTATTTTATTTATTTATTTTTATGTGGTGCTGAGAATTGAACCCAGTGTGTCACACATGCTAGGCAAGTGCTTCACCGCTGAGCCACAATCCCCAGCCCAAGTATTGTCACTTCTTGATGATTCTTCCCTAGTCTTGGCTAGTTTTCTATACTGAGCTCTACTTAGCTTAAGATTCAAGGGGCACCCTTTACAGATTTCTGGAGTTTTCACTCAGTGCAGTTCTTCAGTATCTGACCTGCAGACTCCAGCTGCTTTGACTTTTAAGTCCTGTCTTCTGAATTTAGAGGGGTCCACAGGGTTCTACCTGGCTACTGTTTTCTATGCTATGGCCTAGAAATTCTCCATGCAATAAGCTGGAGTGATCATAAAACTCATCTCATTTGCTTTCTCTCTCTCTCTCTCAGCGGTTTCTGTCTGTCATTGCTTTTTTCTCGGTATCTTGAAAACCATTGTTTCCTACATTTAGTCCAATTTTTATTTACTTCAAGCAGGAAAGTCTGATTCTTATCACTCCAGCATGACCAGAAGCCGGAATTAATAAACTAGAAAATATATCTGAAGAAAGTATTGGAAGTCCTTGGAAAAAGACTAAGAGATAGAAAATAGAAAAGAAGTTAAAATGTTAGAGAATAGATTGAAAAGGTCTGGTATGTGTCACAATTTGAGGAGGATGTAATACGATATTTGAGAGAAGCAGTATTCAAAGAGATAATGATATTATTTAGATATTGTGAAAACACAGAAGTCCTCTGATTCAAAATGCACAATGAATTGATACATAAACTAATTCAGATCAGTGAGGATAGGAATGATTATTTCGTAACTTTGTAATTGTTTCTGGGACAGTAGCTTCTTATATTAAAATAAGAAAAAGGAATTGGATTTTATCTCAGATACACCATACCCAAAAAGTCATTTCAAGGTCTGGGGATGTGGCTCAAGTGGTAGCACGCTCGCTGGCATGCGCAGGGCACTGGGTTCGATCCTCAACACCACATAAAAATAAAATAAAGATATTGTGTCCACCTAACACTAAAAAATTAAACACTAAAATATTTTTAAAAAGTCATTTCAAGTCTGTTTGAATATCCAAAACAAACCACATTTATTAAAGAAATGCAGGAGAAAATCTTGACCTTGGGGGAAATAAGAGCAGTCATTTACATAGCATTTACTATGTGTCAGGCACATTTTTCAATGTGATACACACAGGCATATCTACGTACACATATATACATACACAGATACATATGTAATATGTATATATAGGTAATAATTCTCAAAACAATTATATGTAGTAAATGCTATATTAACTTCATTTCATAGATAAGAAAACAAATAGAAGGAAAACTTGCCCAAGATCACATAGCTAGCAGGTATCTTGTCCAGAGTGTGTGCTGTGAAATAAGACATAAGTTAATTCCTTAAAGGAAAACATAGATAAGTACATTAACAAAACAGACATTGTTTAGCTGCTAACCATAAAATGAAAAGACACTACTAATTCAGAAAACAAATTGCTACGTTTGGCACTTTTGCCAGACACCCCCCCACACACACGCACACATAAAATTCAACAGATATAGCTGGAAATGTGGCTCAGTAGTAGAGCTCTTTCCTAGCATGGATGAGGCCCTGAGAGCCATCCCTAGTACTAGGGGGAAAAATCAAGTGTGAATAGATATTTCATGAAGGAAGAAATTGCGAATTACTGATGTTAGAAGATGTCCTACCTCAATGGTAGGAGAAATACAAAGTAAAACTATAATAAAATCATCTTATAAATCAGGTCATCAGAAATTAACAAATTGTGACAAGTATTTGCAAGTATATGTAGTTCCTGAGAGTGCAAATTAGTTAACTCTTTATAAAATAATTTGGCATTATCTAGCAAAGGCATGTTATATAACCAGTTCCATCTCTAAATATGTACTCTAGGTGGGGATCAACAAATTATGACCCATGGACCAATTCAACCCATCCAGTCTGTTTTTATAAATTCAGTTTTTATCATATCACATTTGATTATTTATTTCTGTATTGTTTGTGGCTGCTTTCGTCTTTCAGTGGAGTAGTGGTAACAGACTTTCGGGCCCACAAAGCCTCAAATATTATTCTCTGATAGGATAGGAGAAACAATCTAGTTGTCAATTTTGAGGAAGATGGATAAATGGTTGTAATTCATTCAGTGGAGTGTCACAGAGAAGCAGAAATGAACAATAGCTACTAATGGTCAATGTGTACAAATTTTACACCTAAAGTTACAGCACGTACAAAAGTTATACCAAAAAAGCAAATTGCTGGAGTTGGGATTGGACAGTGCTAGAGTGCTTGCCTAGCATGTGTGAAGCACTGGGTTTGATTATCAGCACCTCACATAAATGAAATAAAATAAAGGTCCATTGACACCTAAAAAAAAAAAAAAAAAAAGTAGTTGCAGAAAACATGCAGTATGATTCCACTAATGTGAAGTTCAAAAACATAATTGTAAAACTAACCAGTATATTGTTGAGGTTTTCATGCTAATGTAGTATACCAAAGAAAAGCAAGAAGTGGGGTACTAACATTAATTTCTATAGTCCCAATTACTAGGGAGGCTGAGGCAGAAGGAGAGTTCAAGATCAGCCTGGGCAATGTAGTAAAACCTCATCTCAAAACAAAACAAAAACAAGAAACGAGAAACATAAGATACAGAATAGTGGTTACTGTGGGCAGTGGGTGGAAGATGTGTTTGGGGACTGCCCACAGTAGTTTCAAAGATTTAGATGGTATTTTTAAAGCCGTGTGGTGGATATACAAACCAAACTCTCCCACTCCCTTGATAAACAAGATATATTGTCCATTTCTGTGATATTCACACTCTTTTAATTATAGTAGCTTTCTGGTTTTGCTATCTCATAGCTTTCTTTTTTCCTAAATGAATTTTAGAATAATATCTAAGCCACCCTCTTTTTAAAAAGGTTCAGTTAGGAATTTTATTAGAATTTCATTGGATATTTTTATTATTTACGAAAATTTCAGTACATTTACAGTTTTGTGTTTTCATCCAAAAACGTGGTTGTCTGTATATCAAGCCAGGTTACATTTTGTGCCCTTCAAGAAAATTTTTGTTTTCTCGTATAAATCTCTCCCATTTTGTGTTTGGATTACAGCATTTTCTACTCTGGGTTTTCCTTAATTCAGTCCTACTTTTTGTTTTTTTAAAAGTTCCTCCAATTTTTCATTTTGTTTTCCCTTTCTGTTTCATTGAGGTTATGGATTTGTTCTTTCTTTATTGTTTGTTTGTTTGTTTGTATCTTTTCTTCCATTTTGGTGATAGTGAGAAGCAGACATAAATGGGTATGCCAATTCTGAAATCTGTAACCTAATATACACATGACTTTTATGGTTTAAAAAACATGTAATTTATTTCCTTAGTTTTTTACCATTTTATTATTATAAAGAGTGCCTATGAAAAATAAAATTGAAACATTAAGACATATGCCTATTAATTTTTTAAATTTAAATTATAGCTTGAAAGTGAAAAATGTGAATTACAATCGAAAGTGTTCCTAATGAAAGAAAAAATAGAGTCATTAGAGAACAAATCAAAATTTCAAGCTCAACAAATAAGCCAAATTGGCCATGTACCTGGTGACTCATCTCATCAGAAAACAGAGATGAATTCCCTTAGGTAAGTTTATTGGAACTTTTTTTTTTTAATTTCACTCCTGGGAACATGTTTCTGATTATATAAGATTTACAACCATGGCATTTCAGATTGTGCCTTTGAACAGTAGTTTCCAAACTATTTCCAAACAGTAGTTTCCACAGATGCCATGGCCCCATCTCTACTCTCAGCCATGGCCATTAATTCAAAAACTAAATGAGGGGTTTAGGGGATGAAGAAAAGACAAACAGACACACAAAGAAAAAGGTGGGGCCAGGTGGGACATTACTCTCTGATGGAGAACCAGTGACCCAGAGCTAGTTCAGCACATTTATTATATGGGTTTCATGATCAAAAAGTTATTTGTGGGAAAGTTTTAGCAGAGCAGACAATCTGAAGAATGCAGGACTGGTGAGACATTTAATGTTATTACCTTATGGAATTAAAGAAATCAAGAGTAGTTGATTGTATATTTAGCAGTTGATGTTTAGCACCCCAATTTTGTAAATTAATCAGATGTCTCCTTTAACAGATTTATGATTAAATCCCACTGATGTTAAACCTGATTTACTCATTTTTAACTACAAAAACCAAGATATCAGAGCTGGGGTTGTGGCTCAGTGGCAGAGTGTTTGCATAGCATGTGTGAGGCACCAGGTTCAGTTCTCAACACCATATATAAATAAATAAAATAAAGGTCTATTGACAACTAAAAAAAATACTAAAAACAAAAAAACAAGATATCAGACAAATGTAGCTAACAGTATTTAGCAGATCAGAGTTTACTTTTGGCTTAGAGTCCTGAAATCCTCAAGAAAGATTTTTAAGGAAAAGAAAATTGTATAAAGGAAATCATTTCAATGTCTCCCTGTGCTGTAGTCTTAGGGAGGAACTTGTTAAGAAAGCAAGGTGGCAGGGTGCCAGAAAAAACAAGACAGCCCACAGCAGCAGGTTGAATTTAAAAGTGACATTTTTTTTCCTTTGGTCTCAAACCAGTTTTTGCAGTTTACATTCTAAATGAAAGCCTAAGAGAGAAAGAGAGCTAGCATAAACTAAGAAAGCATAATCTTAAGCATTGCAAATTAGAGATCCCTTCTTTGGATCCCAGTTGTTTCATGGTTTAGACCCACCTATAAACTTGCTTCTCACTTTTCTTTGCTACCCCGGCCTCAGAAGCATCCTCCCATCTGAGCATTGAAGACGATCCCCTGTGTCCAGTCCCTGTTTGGGCACCAACTTTCTGGGCCCTCTCATTTTTGTTCTCAGCCACGGTCATTAATTCAGGGAAAGACACTGGACAAGTAGGAGCCATGGAGGATGAAGAAAAGACAAACAGATACACAGAGAGAGAAAGGTGGGGCCAAGTGGGACACTGCTCTCTGGTGGAGACACAGTGACCCAGAGCTAGCTCAGCATGTTTATTATATAGGTTTAATCACCAAAAGGCTATTTATTGGGGCTGGGGTTGTGGCTCAGTGGTAGAGCGTTCACCTAGCACTTGCGTCGCACTGGGTTCGATCCTCAGCACCACATTAAAAATAAATAAATAAAATAAAGTTAAAAGAAAAAAATGCAGAATATGTAGCTTAGAAATATTGAGTTGTCTGTCAATACTGTGTCCATCTACAACTAAAAAAAAAATATTCGAAAAACCAAAAGATTATTTATGGAAAAGTTGTAACAAAGCAGACAATCTAAAAGGACACAGGTCTGACAAGACATTAAGGTCATTTTGTTTTGCTCAAAATTCTCTGACCCTGGGAGATGGTGCCTGAGCTCAAAGTCCCAACTGATAACTCTGAGCATTTGCACAGTTTTCTCAGGCTGCAGCACCATAGCAACTGGGCCATCTCAACCTGTACTTTCACACAGGTAGGTCCCAGTACAAACACAGCCATGAGGGAGTCAAAAAGACCATGATTTAAATCACCACTCTCCACAGTTGGCCTAGAAGCAGAATCACCTCGAGCTTTTGAAAAGTATGAATTTAGGGCCTGTCTCTCTGGCTTTAAATTTGCTGAGTAAATCTCAATAGATTTTAGGTATGTGTTTTTGGATTTTGGTTTTTAGTGTTGGGAATTGAACCCAGGTGTACTTAACCATTGAGCAACATCACCAACCCTTTTTATTTTTTCATTTTTAGATAGGATTTCACTAAGTTGCATATGACCTCACTAAATTGCTGAGGCTGGTCTGGAATTTAACAATCCTCCTCTCTCTGAGCCACTGGGATTAGGGGCATGAGCAACTGCCTCCAGATGGGTATCTGTATTTTTTTTTTTTAATGTTTATAAGTTAATATGATTGTAAACAAGTTTTTGAATCTGTAGGGTAGGACTGCTGAAAAGGATAGAATTTTTTGCTACCTGTGCCATTTTCCTTCTTTTTCTTGCCTCTTTCAAGGAAGTAAATGTAAAATCTGAATATGTATCTTCTATTTTGAACCCTTTCTGACTAAAAAGCAGACATCTTTAACGAAGGAGGGTGTACATGAGTAGCATGCTTCTTAGAAAGCTAACTCTGGTAGAAATACGGAACATGGATTTGAAGTCTTAGAGACTTGATGGCATATAGTGGACACCAAAGGTCTAGACTGAAACCTAAGAAATGTTTCATACGTAAAACCAAAAGACCTAATGACTTATATAGTTATAAAAAGAAGATAAAATAGGACTGGGGTTGTGGCTCAGTGGTAGAGTACTGCTTGCCTAGCATGGTGACTCCCTGGGTTCGATCCTCAGCACCACATTAAAAATAAATAAATAAAATAAAGGTTAAAAAAAAAAAGAAAAGAATGCAGAATGTGTAGCTTGTCAGCAGTTACTCAATTTTTTTTTTTTTTAAAGACACAGATCCAATATACAAAAACAAAGAATCACAGAAGTATATAGTGGAAAAAACAGAGCAAAGGTGAGAATCAAAGGAATAATTAGGAAAAGAAAAACCTGAGACTATTGTTCATAGGGTTCCCTGATACATGAAATAGCTTAAGGAAATAAGTCCAAAAACTGGTTACCTGGTCAGTTAAGGAATACTGTTTGCCACTTATTTAGAGCATCTTCGTTTTGCTCTTTTACTGATTGACTGCAGTCTTTATAAGGTTGACTTTAGAAAAAACTAATGCATATACTACTTTTTGCTTCATTCTCTTTTTGTAAGCACTACCTATATTCTGTGAAGGACAGCTGAATGGCCCAGCTCCTCTTCTGGTTCCTGCCTGTCTTAATCTCCGAAATACAAATACCATGTTGTGTGTTTGTCTCTCAGAATTATTAGTATATCCTTTTCGCTCTATATCCATCTGACAGGATCTGGCATTTAATCCATTTTTCTTTTCCTTCTGATTGTAGCGACACCCCTTTTCTTTTCTCACAGAAAGTTCAGAAGGTAGAGCTTTCAGTACCCTCTCTTGAACACCCTAGTCTGTAGCTCCTTTGGGGTTTTTGTTCTTAGACTAAAATCCTTTTTTTCTGGGATGCAAGCTGCCTGTTTCCTTTCTTAGGGGTAATCTAATCAATGTGCTACAGGAGGGGACTGAGAATTTTTCTCTCTACCTTATATAATCTGGGGATATCACATTATTTTATAACTTCATTTTGCTCTGACAGAAAACTATGACATATCTTATCTTTGAGGCTATTGTGCCATTCACATTCTCCACATTAGTAAGCATTATTAGAACCATGAGTTCAAGCTGTTAGTTCCAAATACAAAGCTAAACTCAGTACAAACCATAATACCTATAAAAACAAAGGCATGTTGTCCAAACCTTGTGCCATTTTTTTATATGTTTAATAGAGAAGAGCACTCTTGCTGCTCTTTTAATCACATCAACCTCTCTTTTCCTTGATAGAAACATGTTTAAGAATCAGATTCTCAGATAAATGAGGCCCTTGTTCTTTCCCATCCACCTCATGAGGCTAGGCATTTTTTTTTTCCACCAAATTAAGGTGTCACCAAACAGGATTTTCTTTTATCATGCACAGTCTCGTAGTTGTCCAAATAAAATGCCTTTTGTCTAGCTGTTGGGGTAAATCAGAGGATATACTATAAAATCCCACTTTTAGCTGGGCATAGTGATGCACACCTATAATCCCAGCTACTTAGGAAGCTAAGGCAGAAGGATTGCATGTTCATGACCAGCCTGGACAGTGTAGTGAGACTGTCTTTAAAATGGAAAATAGAAAGGGCTGGAGATATAGTTCAATGGTAGAATACCCCTGGGTTCAGTCCCCAGTACCACTGAATGAATGAATGAATAGAAATTTCATTCATTCCCACTCTTCAAAATTAAACAAATGACTGTTGTCCCCCTCAAATTGCAGTATTTAATGAGATGTGGTATTTTATATCCCAGATCAAAACTTCATAATGCTATTAATAGGGAACATTTCTGTACATAGGAAAGATGCCTACTGCCTCCTCAGAGCTTGCTAGCCAAGCTCTAGAACCAAAGTTAGCAAATTTTCTACAAATAGTCAGTATTCTTCAATTACTTAAGCATTTATAAACCCATTTGTACATCTCAGTTCTTCCAAAAATAAATAGCAGACTGTAGTTTGTCAATCCTGCTCAAGGATAAATTGTTCCTAGCCTAGTTAGACAACTAACTTCTCAACCCCTTGGCAAATATCCTTGATCCTTACAACTAAATAGTCCTTTTTTCAATTTACCTTAGCTTTTTATCTTTGCGTGTTCAAAACCTGAAAGTTGCCAGCCATGATGGTGCACACATGGGAGGCTGAAGCAGGAGATCAAAAGTTCAGGGTCATCTTGGCAACTTAGCAAGACCCTATCTCAAAGGACTGAAATTATACCTTAGTGTTAGAGTACTTGCCTACATGTGCAAGGACGTGGGTTCAATCCCCAGTACTGCAAATAAATAAATAGCAAGCTATGCAGTTATCCAGTCAAATAAATGGTATAGCAGATTTTCCTGAAAACAGTCCATAAACTCTAATCAGACATAAAGTTATACCAACAGATATGTTTTACTAAGATTTGTTTAGATACATTTGGAAAGCCAATGTAACAGGTCTCCTTTGAAAAGTGTTTATTTGCTAAGGGAATTAAATATCATTTTAGATAAGGGAAAGAAGGCTCATAGATTATCTTGGATGTCAAGAAACTCTTCTGAGTATTCCCAATATTCTTCCAAGATAAAAAGATGAGCAGGGCTCTTAATTGGATAGCTGAGCCTGTGAAACTAGAATTGAAAGAACTAAGGGAACTACGGCCACCAGTTATCATCCCCTTGCAGAAGCCTAAAATTAAAAAAAAAAAAAAGTTAATAATAATCTTTCTCATTGAGTGTTGGGCTATAACCATAGACTTCTGGGAAACAGCACTCTTATGAACAAATAATATGGCAGTCACTAAGGTATTTTTTCTTAGGAACTTTCTGCCTCACTTCTTTCATTAAGAAGACCTTTATCTTAGTACTAAGTTCAGTCAGAAGTTACTTCCAGGATCTGGTATACAGTCTTAGTTGTCTATTTTTCTTTCTACATGAGAATATAAAAAAGCAAAGCTATTATTAGGACTCTCCCAAGGGCTTCCTTTATGTGAATATTAATCAAGACGTTTGTTATCTTGCTTTCCTTTATCAACTCTGCTTTCATCAGCAAATTATCCTACCTATGAAATTAAATGCAAAGAAATTATTACATTTTTGCTTAGAATTTCAAGCACAGTCACTCACTTGGCATCCTTTATTAAAGATGGAACTCTGGGGGCCATTTTATTTTATTTTTTTAGATGTTGATGAACCTTTATTTTATTTATTTATATTTGCTACTGAGAATTGAATCCAGTGCCTCACAAATGCTAGACAAGTGCTCTACCACTGAGCCACAACCCCCAACACCCACAGCCCATTTTTATTTTTGAAAGGACTTTGTATGGCTTCCTGACAGACTTTTTCCATGTAGAGGATTTGTCTCCCTATATTCTGCATATTGAAGCAATAGAATATAGTAGAAGAACATTGATGTCATGTTAGATTAGCCTAGATTTGCATCTTTTCTTTGCCTTTACTGGCTTTGTGACCTTGGGCATGTTACTAGTTGTTTCTGTAAAACTTGGATAGTATCGCCTTGTGTTGTTATATCCCACATAATAAAAAGGAAGATCTTGATTAGCCACCTGGATCTAATTTTATAATTTTATGAAGTCATTCTGCTTGAACCTAGTGACTTTCTGACATGGTTTGGTTTGGTTGTGCAGTTCTAAGTAACTTTCCTCCTGGTTTTTTGTAGAGGCGGGGATACTGATACTCACCTAGTTGCTCAGCGCCTCACTGTTGCTGAGGCTGGCTTTGAACTCTCAATCATCCTGTTTCAGCCTCTGGAGCTGCTGGAATTATACGAATGCACCATTGCACCCAGCTCCTCCCTATTTCTGGGTCATGATTAACTTGCTAATAGAAAAGTTAGCATAATCTCTTTTATTTTACATAATACTTCTCAGTATTGCTAGTAAATTTTTTTTGTTGTCCTATTTTACTAGAGGTGTACAATCCAAGCCTCCTCCATTAGGCAGTTCTAAGCTAAGCAACCCTTAGTATCTTCTTCTTTTATCCTCTAAAGACATCTATTCCTGACAAATAACCTGGGGTGACAGATGTGTCTTTCCAGCCAGGCAGAGTAAGACTCCCAGGCCATGGCTAAGAGCATTCTGAGATTTGCCAAGAGAGCAAATTTTTGCTGTTGAGTTTCTAGAGATATTATTTCTGAAAAATAATTACTGATCAGTAATAGACACCTTTGAAATTGTCTTTATTGAGATGTCTTCTAGGCATCCTTTCTTTTGCTCCCTGAAACCAGTCTTTAGTCTTAAATTCCTATTGCACTATAAAGAATGCCTGCCTTCCCTATTTACTATGACCTCCATTGACTAGCCATCCAAAAAGTAGAAGCTCACACTAGTCAGGATGGTCAGGATTCATGGAGCATACTCTGTCTGAAGTGTTAGGCCATACTGTAAGAACAGCACCTTTTTTTTTTTTTTTTTTTTTTTTTTGTGCCTCCACTATTGGAAATAGATTTTAAGGGAGAGGGTGTTGATATTAGGAAACTGAGAAGATCTTTAAAAACTACCAAGAAGACTCTAGAAAATTCTAGAGTATACAATTAATTTGATTTTTTTATTAAAAAAATCAAATTATTATTTTTGGAGAAGAATGATGGACTGCAAGAAATAATATAAGGCCATTGATTATACTGGAAGAGCTTTAAAATGAATAAAAGAAATTTAAAAATAAGAAAAACTATTTTTAAGATATCTCATTTTAAAAAATTATTTCTAAGAGAGATAAAGAATACCATTTGTTTTTGTCTACTGCTTCTTTAGGATAGTAAATGACCAGCTACAGCGGTCACTTGATGAGTATCAGCGCCGACTTTCCTTAAAAAGAGGTGAACTTGAATCAGCCCAAGAACAAATTAAAATACTGGAGGGAAAAATAAGTAAGTGATTTAAATTTTGTCTTTGCTAATCATGATTTACTTTGTCTAACAAACATTTCTTTTCATTTATAGATGAACTAAACCTTAAGATGACTTCACAGAATGAGGCAGCTCATGTAATGAAAAAGACCATTGGTGTTATTGATAAAGAAAAAGACTTTCTTCAGGAGACTGTAGACGAGAAGACAGAAAAGCTTGCAGACTTGCAAGAAAACCTAGAAAATAAAGTATATAACTGTTAAATATCATTTTCCAATATCTGAATAGAGAGGATTATCTTATTCTGTTTCAGATTCATACATAGTTCTTACCTCAAGACCCAGGGCATTTTATCTCAATAATTTGAATCTTCAAAATATGATTTTATCTATTGTTAGAATGTGATTTTATCAGATATTATTAGGCAAACTTTTTAAAGAAACTATTCAAGTTCCTAGGGTGGAAAGAAACATGCCAATATGTGAAGTATAATTGAGACGTGGAAATATGTTTACTTGGAACTTTCTCTTTTATGCATAATTTTTTTTTTAATTTTTATTATTGGTTCAAAGCATTACATAGTTCTTGACATATCATGTTTCATACATTTGATTCAAGTGGGTTGTGAACTCCCATTTTTACCCCATATGCAGATTGCAGAATCACATCGATTACACATTTTATGCATAATTTATATAATTGAACTATGTACTTAACTATATAAATGTGACAAATTATATGAATCTAGCTACAAACATTTCTATATGAATGATTTAGAATCTTATATATTTTTACAATTTCTGTAGGAGAAAGCTATTGCTCAGATGAAGAAAACTATCTCAGAGTATGAATTATCCAAGAAGTAAGTAATTAATCAGGTGAAACCCAGCTTTTTAAGAAATTTTTGGTGAATAGTTTTTATCTATTTAGTAGCCATCAGCAATAAGCTAATTTCCCCATTTTTTGCCAGTGGCATCATTTTCTCAGTCTCCTGCTTGAGAATGTTACCTCTTTAATTATTCTTCCTGTCATCCATTTAAACATTTGTATCTTATTAATTATTCTTTAACGTTTCCTACTTAACTCTGTTTTTACTATAATTACCTTGAATAATTATAATTATTCTTTAACATTTCCTACTTAACTCTCTGTTTTTACTATAATTACTATAATTACCAGTCTCTGTTCATTACAATTCATTACCATTTTAAAATTTTAAAATGTTGATTAGTATCAATTTTGAATTTTAGTATCAATTTTGAATTTTTTCTCTATCTAAATTTATCTTGAACAGTTACAAAATTTACATTTTATGTCTAGTCTCCCCAGAAAGAGTAAAAGGGGCTTAAAGTCAAGTCACTCAGTATATTTATTTTACATACCTTTAATTTTATGTAATAGTGGGAGAGTAGGGCTGGGGTTGTGGCTCAGCAGTAGAGCACTTGTCTAGCACGTGTGAGGCCCTGGGTTCAATCCTTAGCACCACATATAAATAAATAAAAATAAAGGTGTTGTGTCTACTTACAACTTAAAAAAAAAATAGTGGAAGAGTAAACATTTAATAGATATTTGCCAATTGAATCTCTTATGTTTGGTTCTTAATACTTAGAGTAAACGCTTTGGTTCTGTATTTACTTGGTTTTTGGAATAATAAATCTGTTTTGTGAATTTATTTGCAGATATGACTGGTAGAGATCTAAAATACCTGCTTTACTTAATCAGTATCTTAATGAAGCAGTCTAGTTTCCTATATTCTTAGAATATTTAATTCAGTAGTTTTCTTTTAAATGAACTACAATTTTCTAAAAAGCTTCATTATTTCCTCATTTAACAGCCAGCTAAAGGAAGCATTGACTAATCGAGAAAGGGAGATAAGCAGCCTTCGACGCCAGGTTGATGCATATCACAAAGAACTTGACGAAGTGGGAAGAGCTAGAGAAATAGCTTTTAAGGAAAACAGACGATTGCAAGATGATCTGAGTACAATGGCAAGAGAAAACCAAGTATGAACACACAGTGCATAAATGCTGGTGGTTTCAGAGTACCTATTTGTTGTTTGCTAAATAGTAAAGCAACATAGGTAATTTTTTAAGGAGAATTTCATCTATCAGGCTAATAAAAAAATGTAGTTTACCCTGCCATGATGGCACTTGCTTGTAGTCTCAATTAATCAGGGGACTGAGGCAAGAGAATCACTTAAGCCCAGAAGTTCAACACCAGCCTAAACAACATAGCGAGGCTCTCTCTTTTCTAAAATAAATAAATAAATAGATTAAAAATAAATTAATGAGTATTTTAAAATGTCAAGTGCTGAGAGAATTTTTTTTATTGCTGGTTTATTAAAAGATTATACAAAGAGACCAATGATTTCCTGTTTTAAATACTCTGTTTTTTAAAAATTACTTTCAGGGGGCTGTAGCTGTGGCTGTGGCTCAGTGGTAGAGTGCCTGCTTTGCATGTGTGAGGCACTGGGTTTGATCCTCAGCACTATATAAAAATAAATAAATAAATATATTGTTTCCATCTACAACTAAAAAAATTTTTTTAAATTACTTTCAGTATTATTCATAAAGCATATGTTATAATTGTTCTTTCTAGGTATACATGGTAGTAGAGTATATTTTGATACATTATGCATACATAGAGTAATTATAACTTGTTATAATTATTATGGTCATATATGATGTGGAGTTATATTGTTTGTGTATTCATTTATAAGAATTATGAATTTCTTAAAAAGGTCAAGCTCTAACCATAACTAGCCCTTAGTGTAAAAGTCAGATTACATGGTGAGGAATGTTATGGGAGATGTGTGGTAAAATTTGGTGTTTCTGGGCGGGGTTTGTGGCTCAGTGGTACAGCGCTCTCCTAGCATGTGTGAGGCTCTGAGCACCACATAAAGATAAATAAATAAAGGTATTGTGTTCATCTTCAACTGAAAAGAATATTTTTTTAAAAATTTGGTGTTTCTTACATCCAAGATCAGCCAGGAAATATATGTGACAATTACTTTTGCCCTGTACTCTTATTCCAAAGAAACTATTTGAATATAAATAGAACTCATTTGGTACCGTGTTCACTTTAGATTTGTCTTCAATTTCTGATTTATAGGCAATCTCATTGGAATTGGAAGCAGCAATGCAAGAAAAGGAAGAAATGAAGAGTAGAGTGCATAATTATATAACTGAGGTGTCACGATGTGAGAGTTTAATGGCTGCTAAGGTGAAAAACATTGTTTATGTTGGATTTCACATTGATTTTTTTAAAAACTTTTTCATGTTTGTCTGTTTTGTCCATACTATTATTTGTTAAACAGTTGAGAGTTAAGATCTTATCTTCTTTTTATATTTTCCAATAGATTTTAGTATAGTACACAGATACCTGATGCTCCCAAATTTAGAACAGAATGCCTAGTGTGTATGTGTGTTCCATTTAGTGACAGTTAACTAATTTAGAAACAATTTAATTATGCTTAAAACAGGAACAAGAAAATCAAGATTTGTTAGATAGATTTCAGATGCTTCATAGCCGTGCTGAAGACTGGGAAGTCAAAGCCCATCAAGCAGAAGGAGAAAGCAGCTCAGTTCGACTAGAACTTCTCTCCATTGATACAGAAAGGAGACACCTTCGAGAAAGAGTCGAGCTACTAGAAAAAGAAATTCAGGAGGTAATAACATTCATTGGTCTAGTAAAAGCATTATTTAGTAAAACAAAACATTCAAAGGTACTTTATTAAGGTGAGGTTATAAATATTTGTCATTAATTCTGATAACTTTCATAGGAACCCCATTACTTTTTTTACTATAGTAAAAGATGATAATGTCAAATTTACCATTTCAACCTTTTTTTGGGAGGAGGTACCAGGGATTGAACCCAGGGGCTCTTAACCACTGAGCCACATCCCCAGCCCTTTTTATTTTTTATATTGAGACAGGGTCTCTTTAAGTTGCTTAGGGCCTTACTAAATTGCTGAGATTGAAATTGCAGTCCTCCTGCCTCAGCCTCTAGAGTCACTGGGATTACAGGTATGGACCATCAAACCCAGCCATTTTAACCATTTTTAAATGTATAGTTTTATGGCATTAAAGTACATTCACAGATTTGTACACCTATCATTATCATCTGTCTCCCTTTCTCCGGCTGAAACTCTATACCCATAAAACACTAATCCCCCATTATTCCCTACCCTCAGCCCCTGGCAACTACCATTCTCCTCTCTGTTTGTATGAATTTGACAACATTTTAGGTCCCTTGTGTAAGTGTAATGATGTATTTGTCCTTTTGTGCCTAGCTTATTCCACTTAGCCTTGAGATTTACTTTATCATAAGATCATCCATTTGGTAGCATGGTATCAGAATTTCACTTCATTTTAAGCCTGAATGGGTTTACAAATATCTGTTTAAATTCTTTCTTTAATTCTTTTGGGTATATACCCAGAAGTAGAATTGCTGGATCATATGATAATTTTATGTTTACCTGTTAAGGAACAACCAAGGGTTTTCCATAAGGCTACAACATTTTGCATTTCTACCAGCAGTACTAGGATTCTAATTTATCCATTCTAATACTTATTATTTTCTTTCTTTTTAAAATTTTTTGGATAAAATAGTCATCCTAATGAGAGTGAAGCTATATTTCGTTGTGGTTTTGATTTGCATTTTTTTTTCTTTAAGTGCTGAGGATTGAGCTCAGGGTCTCATCTGTGCAAGCACTCTACCTCTGAGCTACACCCACAGCCCTATATTGTCTTATTGAGCATCTTTTCGTGTGCTTACTGACCATTTTTATGTCTTTGGAGAAATGCCTATTTAAATATTTGTCCATTTTTAAATCAGTTTTTATTGTTGTTGACTTACAGGAGTCCTTTATATATTTTGAAGAAATATGTGATTACAAAATATGTGATTTAAAGATATTTCTTTTTGGTTATTTTTTACTGCATTGATAGGTTGGTTTTTTAATGGCTTACCTATTTAGGGGGTGCAAGATGATAATTCGATACATGTATACAATGATCAAATCAGAGTAATTGGTATTTCTATCTCCTGAAATATTATCATTTCTGTTGGACCATTTCTTCTCTAATTATTTTAAAATATAAAATAATTGCTATAGATTATTATAATCACCCTGTGTACTATAGAATATTAGAACGAATTCCTCCTATCTTCTAGTATTTTGATATCCATTATCCAACCTTTCTCTCTTCCTATCCTTCCTAGTCTCTAGCGATCACTGTTTTATTTACTTCAATGAGATCAACTTCTTAAAATTTTCACCAATGAGTGAAAACATGTGGTATTTATCTTTCTGTGCCTAGCGATTTCATTTAATATAATTTCCTCCAGTTCCATCATATTGCTGCAAATGAGAGGGTTTCAAACTTTTCAATGGCTGAATAATATTCTATTTATATATATATGTATATATATATATATGTATGTATGTGTGTGTGTGTGTGTGTGTATATATATATATATATATATATATATATATATATATATATATATATATATATAAAATTGATTTATTCATTTATCCATCAATGGATACTCTGTTGATTCCATATCTTGGTTATTATGAATAGTGCTATAATAAATATGGATTTACAAATATTTCTTTGATGTAATGATATAATTTCCTTTTGATATTTTCCCAGTAGTGGGATTATTGGATCATATAGTAGTTCTGTTTTCAGTTTTTTGAGGAACCTTCATTTTATTTTCCATAATGTCTGTACTTACTTATATTCCCATCAACAGTTATAAGTTCCCCTTTCTCTATATCCTCACCACCATGATGTGGTTTTTGTTTGTTTGTTTGTTTTTTTTTTTTTGTCTCTTTGGTAATAGTCATTTTTTCATATACTATGGGCTGAGTGTAAGTTTTCTTGAGAAATACGTGTTTAGATCTTTTGTCCATTTTTAATTTGAATTATTTAGGTGGATTTTTTTAAAGAATATTTTTAGTTGTAGATGGACACAATACCTTTATTTTATTTATTTATTTTTATGTGGTGCTGAGGATAAACCCAGTGACTCACGCGTGCCAGGCAAGTGCTCTACCACTGAGCTACAACCCCAGCCCCATTTTTTGTTGTTGTTTTTTCGTTTTCTTTTCTTACTATTGAGTGTTTGATTCCTCATATATTCTGGATATTAATCACTTGTCAGAAGGATAGTTTGAAAATACTTTCTCCCATTCTTCAAATTGTCTCTTCACTCTGTTGGTTGGTTGTTTTGCTCTGCAGAAACTTCTTAGTTTGATATTATTCTGTTTGTCTAATTTTGCTTTGTTTGCCTGTGTTTTAGGGGGTCTAGTTATCTAAGAAATCTTTGCCTAAACCAACAACTAAAGTTTTTCTTCTGTTCTCTTCTAGTAGTTTCATAGTTTCATATTTTACATTTAGATCCTTTATCTGACTTTTTGATGCCTAAAAGACTTTAATTTTGATGAAGTTCAATTTATCTATTTTTTCCCATTTCCTCCTTCCTTCCCTTCCTTTCTTCCTTATTTATTTATTGCAGTATTGGGAATTGAACCCAGGATCATTCTACCACAGAGTTACATCCCTAGCTCTTTATATTTTATTTTTTATATTAAAAAAAGAGACATTCTTGCTACATTGCTGAGACTGAACTTGAACTTGTGATCCTCCTGCCTCCTGTGTACCTGGGATTATACACATGTACCACTGGGCTTGACTATATTTTTCGTTTGTTGCTTATAATTTTGGTGTCATGTCCAAGAAATATAAGGCTTTTCCCTTAATTTTTCTTCAAAGAATTTTACCGCTTTAGATCTTAAGTTTAGGTCTTTGATCCATTTTGAGTTAATTTTTGTATATGATATATGGTATACATCCAACATCATTCTTGCATGTAGATTTAAATAAACTTTTGTCATAAAGACAGTCTAAGCCAGGTAGGCATGGTCACATACACTTGTAATCCCAGCTACTTAAGAAGTTGAGCAGAGGGATTGAGTTTGAGGCTAACCTAGGCAATGTAGCAAGGTACCATGTCAAAACAAAACTAAAGGACTGGGGGTGTATCTCAATGGTAGAGTGCTTGCCTAGCATGTTTGAGGCCCTAGTTTCAATCGCCAGTACTGCACTCCCCACCCCCACCCCCAAAATAAAAACAGACAAAAATCTGATAATAAAATTTTGGATTCATTTAAACTACAAGGACTGTTGAGTTAGATAAATGTAGACTAGTTTATATTTTGTTTTGTTGATATAGTTTTTAAAGTTTTCTTATTTCAGGAGAAAGAATAGCTCTCTTTAAAGGATAGGGTTAAAATGTCTAAAAGGCATGTTTAATTCCTAAATCTCAGTCTCTTACCTGGAAATAATATATTTGCAGATATAATCAAGTTAAAAGGAAGTCATACTAGACTAGATTAGAAGCTTAACCAAGGACCAGTGTCCTTATAAAATAAGGGAGATTTGGACATGTGAAGGCAGACGTGAGGAGATTGGAATGATACATCTCCAAGTTAATACTAAGAATTGCCAGTATCCACTAGAACCTAGGAGACTGACATGGAGCATATACTGCTTCAGAGTCTCCATACTGAACCAACTCTGCCTACACCTGAATTTTGGACTACCAGCTTCTAGAACTATAAGGGAGTACATTTCTGTTGTTAAAAGTCACTCAGTTTGTAGCAATTAAAGAAGTCCTGGGAAACAAATACAGATTTTGGTGCCAGGAAATAGATCGATGCTATAACATCTAAAAGTATGAAAGTAGCTCTGGGATTGAGTAATTGGTAGAGACTGAAAGAGTTTTGAGGTACTTAACAGAAAAAGCCTAGATTGTCTTGAAGAATATGGACATTAAAGGCAGCTCTGGTGAGAACTTCTGTCATTTATAGAATACATGAAGGCTCAAATTGAATTAAGGAAGATGTTATTAGATTCTGAAAAAGAGGTGAATCTTGTTATAAAGTGGCAGAGAACTTGACAAATTTATGGTTTACTATTGGGAAGGAAATCAAACTTGGAAGTATTGAACTTGGACATTTAACTGAGGAGATTTCCAAGCAAAGTATGGAAGGGGCTACCTAATTTTTCCTTGCTGCTTACAGTAAAATGTGACAGGAAAAGTAGAAATTGAAGAAGGAACTACTAAGCAAAAAAGGAACCAAAGCTTGATGATTTTGAAATAATACTTAGGCTGTCCAGGTAAGTATTCTCTGGAGAAAGGATCAAGAGTGTGGCTAGACAAAATTTTTGATGGAGAAAGTAGGTATGTGACTCAGTAATCTCAACAGAAATGTTACCAGCTTTGAAAAGGTCAGAAATGGAATAAAATTAAGAAAGGCTATTGGACTTCTGGGATCTCACTGATATAAAATGGCTGCAAACATATGTTCACCTTTAAGAAAAGGGAAGAATCAGCTGGGTGAGATAGTACATTCCTGTAATCCCAGTGGCTTAGGAGGCTGAGGCAGCAGGATCGAAAGTTCAAAGCCAGCCTAAGTGACTTAGCAAGGCCTTAAGCAATTTAGCAAGACCCTGTCTCTAAATAAAATATTAAAAGGGCTGGGGATGTGGCTCAGTGTTTAAGTGCACCTGGATTCAATCCCTAGTACCAAAAGAAAAAAGAAAAAGAAAAATGACTCTTAAGGATGGCTGAAAGCCCAGCAGAGCTGCCAAGGGCAACACAGAGGCTGGTGTAGCTTCTGCTGTGACCACAAATCTAGTGGGCATTGACCAAGGGGATGGGGCCACTGTCTCCTTAATTCTAGAGGGCAGGGCCACCACCCCTGAGGGCCAATAGGGTGGGACTGCTCTCGCAGACCTAGAGAAAAGAACATCAGAGCCACAGATGGTGATTATTGGACACTGAAGTGTGATGTTCCAAGCTTACTTTGGATTTATTCCTTCTATACTTTCCCCTTTTGGAATAGGACTGTCTGTTCTGTACCTGTACCACCATTGTAGTTTGGAAACAGATGATTTATTTTCTATTATCTTAGTGTGTAGATGGAGAGGAATTTTGCCCCAAGTTGGACCATACTCAAGTCTCACCCATAACTGATTCAGATTATGTCTCAATGAGATTTTGAACTTAAATTGATGCTAGAATGTTTCGTGGGTTTTTGTTTTGTTTTGTAATGGAGTAGATATTTTGTACATGAAAAGCACATGAATTTGGGGGGCCAGAGAGTAGGTAGGATTGTGTTTGTCAAAAAGATACAATGAAGCCGGATATGGTGGTGCATACCTGTAATCCCAGTGACTCTGAAGGCTGAGGCAGAAGGATCTCAAGTTCAAAGCCAGCCTCAGCAAAAGTGAAGTGCTAAGCAACTCAGTGAGACCCTATCTCTAAATATAATACAAAAACAGGGCTGGGGATGTGGCTCAGTGGTTGAGTGCCCCTGAGTTCAATCCCTGGTCCCTGTTTCCCCCCATCATCCCACCACAGAATACAATGAATTCCTAACCCCCAGTACCTATAAATGTGACCTTATTTGGAAATAGGGTCTTTGCAATACATTCAAATTCAGGTGAGATTATTGCTGCATTAGGGCAGGCTGTCACCTAATAAATGACTATTGTCCTTATGAGAGAGATGTGGACACAGACAACACAGACGACTTTGTACGAAGATAAAGGTAGAGATTTGGGGTGAAATGTCTACAAGGCAGTGTGCACCAAGTATCGTCACAACCACCAGAAGCTAGGAAAGAGGCATGAACAAATTTTGCTTCAGAGTGTCCAGGAGTCAACTCCATTAAATGAAATGTGGACTTCTGGCCTACAGATCTGTGTGGAAATAAATTGGTTTACCATGATTTGATAGTGGAAGCCCTAGGAAGCTAATATACTATCTCTACATGTTCTAATAAGAAGAGTATAGTAACTAAAGGAATGCTTTTCAACCCCCCAAAAGAATTTCTCAGAAGATATTTCTTTTGTTCTTTGTCATTGTTTTTATTGGCTTTTCGTGTTTATATTTGACTTGTTTGGGGAAATTTTTATTTACTGAATGTGTTAATATTTGAAAATTCAGATGTTTACTTTTCTGTACCTATTGATATTTATTAAATCTTCATAGCATAACATTAGATTTTTAATGTTGATTCATATCAGTGACATCTGTTAAAATCATTTTTCAAATGTGGAGTCTTCCCAAAACATAAAATTAGTTTGTATTTAAAATTTAAATTGTGAGAAATTTAAAATGTGGATTATTCTGGGTAGAATGTTTTATCAGTATTTCAATTTTGGTCATTTCAAAGTTATTAAAATCTTATAAAATTATGTATTTAAATCAAAAGGAATTGGGGCTGGGGTTATGGCTCAGTGGTAGAGCTCTTGCCTAGCACATGTGAGACACTAGGTTTGATTCTCAGCACCACATAAAAATAAATAAAATAAAGATATTGTGTTCATCTACAACTAAAAAATATTTTTTAAAAAGGAATTAAAATCATTCTTTTTCTGAGGTATTTAATTTTAAAGTAAACCCTGTTTTTTCACATTGATGTTTGGGGAATGATAAATATATACGTTACTTTTCGAGGAAAAGGCAATATTATAGCAAAAAAGGAAAAATTTATATAACTTATAAGAATCCCTGATATTTACAACACCCTGACAATAATTTTCATATTTGCACCTTCCAAATATATACATGAGGTACTTAGTTATCATGATTAATAATTATACTTCATTCCTTTTATGCATTAAATAGGCCATCTTTTAATAGCAGACTGCTTCCTGGGAATGTTTTAAAATATGCAAAAATTGGCTGTCACATTTTTCTAAAGTGAAGTTGTAGCTGTACAGAGTCAGTCCCTTTAATTACTGAATTACTTTTTTTGCCTATTTTGTTTTCTTTCTTCAGCACGTAAATGCACATCATGCTTATGAATCTCAAATCTCATCAATGGCAAAAGCCATGTCTAGATTAGAAGACGAGCTGAGACATCAAGAAAATGAGAAAGCAGCAGTATTAAGTGACTTGTCTTCTCTTAGGGAACTTTGCATTAAACTTGATTCAGGCAAAGATGTTATGACCCAACAATTGAATTCCAAAAGCCTTGACTTGGAGAGGGTAAGAACTAAAGAGAAGTTGTCTTGGCGCATTGTTTTCTGGAGTCCTTTATTTATTTATTTATTTTTGCATTATAATTCTTAATACACCATTATATCATAATTTATCATATCTCTGATTATATATTATATATTTCAGGTATGTTGACACCAAATTCACATCTTCATACATGTATTTTGTATAGTGATGAAGGTCTCCTTTCACCATCCATGCTATTCCCCTTCTCCCTCTCTTTCCCTCCCATCCCTATTCCCTATCTAGAGGTAATCTTCCTCCCTTGCTCTCCCTCCCAACCCCACTTTGAGTCACCCCCCTTATATCAAAGAAGACATTCAGCATTTGTTTTTTGGGGATTGGCTAACTCTAGTTGTTTTACTTTGCCATTTATTACCCAATATATTTGTTCCCCTTTATAGCAGTTACTTTTGATGACAGGATGTTGTTTTGGGGTTTTTTTGTTTTTGAGACAGGGTCTCACTAAATTGCTTAGGGTCTTGGTAAGGCTGGCCTTGAATTTGTGATCCTCCTATCTCAGCCTCTTGAATTACTGGGGATTATGGGTGTGAGCCACCATACCCACCTGATGATAGAATGTTGACTCCAGGATTCTTTACCAAGATTTCTTTGGCAAACATGGTAATCAAATTAGGTGTTCTCTGTTTTGGAATGGGTGGATGCTTAGAGATTATAAATTTTCTCACTATAGATTAGAAACATATCCCAATTTTTCTTTGTTTAAAGTTAGACTTCAACAAAAGATTGAGTAATTCATTGCTTCCTAAGTGAAATACTTTTTCTGATAAAAATCTCAAGGCATTTAAGTCTTCATTTAATTAACAAATTTACTTTGCTAAAACTTCCCATTCCAAACCAAGGTGTTACTTTAAATACCCTAGGATATGTTTTCAAACATGAGTGTTCTCAATTTTTACTCATCTAGTAGTGTGTTTTCAGGTTCTCAAAGTGACTGGTTTGACTATGTAGTCAGTATATTTGGTAAACCAGAGGACCTCGTGCTGATGGTGCGGGTGCCGCAGTCTGGCTGGGCACAATCAGGAGCCACTTGTCAAAAGAAACTAACTTTATTTTTAGAACCACACACGCCAAACAAAACAGCCTCTCAGGAAAAACCCTCAGAGCCTCAACTGCCACCACCGGCTTTCCACAAGCCTCTCTCTCCCGCACAAGCTTCTCTCCACCTCCCACAATCCTCCTGCTCTTGAGGCCGATTGGCTGGGTCACGTGGGCGGAGCCAAAAAAGTCCCCCAATGAGCAGCTCCGTGGTCTGAAAGGGCAGGGAAACAGTCCAATGAGTATCACCGCAGAGGAGCCAATCAGCTAGATGTTGCTGGGGCCGAGGAGCCAATCAGCTAGATGTTGCTGGGGCCGCTGTGAGCCAATCATCAGCCGGCAGCTGGAAGTTTGCTGGGGCCCCTTCGGCTGTGGCTCTCAACATCTCCCCCTCTCTGTTTAAACAACAAGCATGTGGCTTAGGGACCGTGTCTGTTAGGCAGTCCAATTCAACATATGGTCCTTACCCGTCATCGGATGAACTGACCTCTAGGCGTCAGCCTCCTGTCTTAGGTTGGTACCACTGCAATTGGATCATACCCGTCACTGACTACCGGTCCAGCATACAGCTATACTTGTGGATAGGCCTCTGCACCAGTGGGGGGGTGAGGTTCTTTGCCTCACCTCTGTTGGGCGAGCAGTTTCACTTACCCTCAGTCGCTCCCCGTACGGGCCACCAAATGCCGCAGTCTGGCTGGGCACAATCAGGAGCCACTTGTCAAAAGAAACTAACTTTATTTTTAGAACCACACACGCCAAACAAAACAGCCTCTCAGGAAAAACCCTCAGAGCCTCAACTGCCACCTTCGGCTGTGGCTCTCAACAGTGCGGGTATATTTTAGAATTTTATGTTAAAGACCCTCTCTTGACAACGAAGTATGAGTGAGAACTGCTTGAGGGTTGGAGAATATCTTTTAACTAAATAAGTCCTTAGAGTAGCAAAGATTATTTTAAAATGAGATGTTCTTATAATTGAAAAAATGGTTTAAAATATTTAACCAATACCCCAAATGAAGCAAAGGATGGGTAAATAGTTCTGCAGAGCTATATTGTCAGATAATTTTCCAAAGTCTAAAATTATACTGAATTAATCTTTGCTTTTCCTGTAGGCTGTGGTAGAATTAGAAAATATGAAGTCAGAATCAGAGCTGTTAAAAAAACAACTGTCAAGTGAGAGACACACGATTAAAAACCTTGAATCATTGTTGGCTACAAATAGAGATAAAGAATTTCATACTCATTTAACCTCCCACGAGAAGGATACAGAAATTCAGCTACTTAAGGAGAAGTTAACCCTTTCAGAAAGCAAAGTGTAAGTGTCATAAATCAACCTAGATGAGAAAAATACTTGTTAAATATAATTTTTTTAATTTGGGGGAAGAAGAGTAAAGTGTGAGAGTGTGAATGGTGGTACGAAACCAAAATATTTGATGTATCTGTCTCCTGCTTTGGAAATTCAGAAGAGTAGCTCAGGGGAGATTATGTTTAGAAATGTAGGCTTGGGTATCTTCACTGCCAAGGTGGTACCTGGTGAGAGTGAGTGAGAGGGTAAACTTCAGGTAAATGCCCAAATGTGAGGAATAAAGAGAGAAGTCAGTGGAGGAAAGAGTGTGTCGGGACAGGAAGATGGGTCTGTGTCTCAGCTATGGATGAGAAAAAGACAAAAAAGAAGGGATTTGGCACTTGTTGAGTGCATTGATTACTGTTGGGGAGACTGATAATGACCTCATTTTAGATGGAAAGTTTTGGGCATGTTTGTTGGGAGAGGGGAGGAAATCCAGAGTTGAGAGTGCAAGTAGAAGAATGGGCTTTTAAAATAAGTTTAAAATCTTTTCATGAGGCAAAAAGCAAGAAAGAGCCAATGAAGATACTTTGTGTCTTGGGTTATAGTTTGTGTTGTTCAAATTTGTTTTCCAGCACTTATTGCAGTACCTGACAGATATTAGAAGCTCAGTAAATGATAAGTAAACTAAATGAGTGGGAAAAAAAAAAACTTTGTGTTGGAAGTTTAGAGAATTATTATAGAAAAGTCTTGATCTTATATTTTCCTATCCTTAAGAATCACCTCCATTTGTGTTTATTGATTTTAGAAAAAAACCTATAGCACTTGACTCAACAAAATGAAACTTTTGTTTTTTATTTCTGTGATCTTTAAATTTATTTTTAAGAACTAGTCAAAGCCGGGAAAATGCCATGCTCCGATCTAAAGTGACACAATTACAAACAGATTATGATACTATGAAAAGGCAGATTTCAACTGAAAGATATGAACGGTAAGAAAATAATTTTAAGTCCCAGTGAGGTTTTTTTGTGGTTGTTGTTTTGAGGTTTTTTTGTTTTGTTTTGTTTTGGTACCGGGGGTTGAATTCAAGGGCACTCCACCACTGAGCCACATCCCCAGCCCTAGTTTGTATTTATTTAAAGACAAGGTCTCATTGAGTTGCTCAGCACCTCTCTTTTGCTGAGGCTGGCAATCAGCCATCCTCCTTCGTCAGCCCTCTGAACCGCTGGAATTACAGGTGTGCGCCATCGCACCCAGCTAGCACCAGTGCTTTTATGTATTCTCTGTTCTGTTCCAAAAAGGATTTAATATGGCTTGCAAACAACAAATTTTGTTATCACGTTAATATATAAAGTAAACTCCCTTGGTAATTCTTCCTAAAAAGGCAACAAGTAATGTGAAAGATAACAACCTGCAGTAAATAAAATAGCAAATGTTGTATTATTGTTTCCTGTAGTGTTCCACAGGGCAAAAGTAGAGCAATATTTCAGAGGGTATAGATAGATAGTCAACAGCAACCCCTCCAAGAGCCCCCTAAATATAGTCCAAGTTGAATAATTACTAATCATGAATGTGATGATGATCATCATCATAAGAGCAATTAACAAATGTTTGCAGGCCACTATGTGTGTGTCTGTTAATCCTACTAACAGCCTTTTATAGCAAACTGGTTACACAGTTGTAAGTGACAGAGCCAACACTAAAATGCAGGAGTATTGGTCCAATTCTAAAGAAACTGTGCTCTTAAGCTCTACAATTTATATTCCTTACATCTTAATCATTTTCATACTCCTATTTTGGTTCATTTGCTTTATGTTGAAAAATTCAATCCCCAAATGTTATAAACAAATGAGATCTGCTTTAAGAATTAAAATCAGTATTAACTTGTGTGTACTAAAATTTCAAGGGTAACAGGATAATCTGAGGGAGAAAAGTCTAAGAAAATTCCTTTGAGAGAGTAGTGATGAAAAAAAGTTTGAGAAACACTGAGCTAGGTGGAAATCCTGGATACCAAAGAACTCAAGGCATAGACTTGAGGTCTTGGCCATAGACTCTGAATAGCCCACAAAGGAAATGACAGCATAATCATAATGCTTGCTGGGGGGTGGGGGTAAACCCAGAATCAGAGAAAATGGACTTTCATTTCTGACAATGGCAATTCTGAGGCAGGAAGAAGGAAGAGGGCTAGATTTGTGTGCATTGAGAGATGGGAAAGGAAGCCACTGAGGAGGAAACAACTTGGAAGCTCTTTCCTCTGAGGAGCAAGCATAGTCCTAGGGCTTAAGTGAGAAATTAGTGAAGTGCAGATAATATACGATTTCCCTTACACAAAAGTTTAAATGGTTGTTTTTTAAAGTAATGAGAAGGTTGGGTTTATATACCTAAAAACAGGAGGTAATTTGCCACATAAGGGTGATCTGATAGACTGGAACTGAATATATTTTAGTGTTCCTGTCCTTCTGAATTCATCTTATAGTAGTTCACTATAAGATAAAAAAGAACTTGTTATTATGGAGTGTGCCCCTCCACGATAGTCTTGATATCATTGTTTCCATTATAGGCTAGGCACTGTACCACCTGCTAAGAATACCAATTAAATAGGGAACTCAGATGAATAACTGATTCTCAGGGAGCACATTATAATGAGGGAGACACACTTGTATATAGACATTATGTAATTGCAGGTATAGAAGTGAGTATAGGATTTGATTGACCCACTGGGAAATGAAATCTGTCCTAGCCTACATCAGTAAGCAAGGGTCAATTTAGGGTATGTTGGAGGTGTTGGGTACCTGTGGAATGTGTTTGTCTGTAAATCCTACTAACAGCCTTTTTTGCCTATATTATAGCAACCTGTGGTCACACGGTTGTAAGTGACAGAGCCAACACTAAAATGCAGGAGTTTTGGTCCAATTCTAAAGACTGTGCTCTTAAGCTCAACAATTTATATTCTTTATACCTTAGTCATTTTCATACTACTATTTTGGTTCATCCTCTTTATGTTGAAAAATTCAATCCCCAAATGTTATAAACACATGAGATCTGCTTTAAGAATTAAAATCAGTATTAACTTGTGTGCACTAATGTGTGGAATATCCAACAGAAACTTGTATGTGGATCCAAAGCATAGGAGACCACTGACACATAAAAAAGCTTAGGAAAAGAGAATGTAAACCTAGCCCAAAGAGCACCACCATGTGAAATATAGGCAAAAGAGAAGGATTCAGTAAAAGAACTGAAAAATGAATGTGTAGGTTAGAAGGAGAATCAGGAGATGGTAGTGTCAGGAAAGCCAAGAGTGGTTAGCAAATCCCACAGAAAGGTCAAGTCAGGTGAGGAACTGGCTTGCTATCATGGAAATATTTAGTTTTTAAGAACACATTAAACAGATTTTGGTGTTTTTTTAAAGTATAAAGAAGAAAATTAAAATTATAACTTCTCCCTTCCACTATTAGCATTTTTAGTCATGTGTTTGTGTATGTGCCTATGTGTGTCTGTCTGATTGTAAACTTAGTATTCTTTTTTTGGTAACTATTTCATGAGCATTCTATTTCTAAAATATTATTTTAATGATGTCCTATTATTACAACATGATTATAGTATAATTGCTTTGAACAGTCTCTTACAATGCATATTATTTTTAATTGAAATATTTTACCTAGTGCTTAAAAATCCTACAAAGACATAGGATTCAAATTTAGTAGAAATGCTAGGGCAGGGTGCAGTGATGTAGTCTCACCTATTTGGGAGGCTGAGGTGGAAGGATCACTTGAACCCACAAGTTCAAGACCAGCCTAGGCATCATACTGCAGGACCAAACAAAAATAAAATAAATTTGATAGAAATACTAATTAATTAGGGATAGGGATATAGCAGAGTGGTAGAGCACTTGCCTAGCATGTGGATTCAAATATGGATTGCCTAGCTTCCTGGATTCATTCTCCACTACCACAAAAAAAAAAGAAGAAAGCATCAATTAATTAAAAAAACACCAAAAGCATCTGATGTTTGCATGTGCCATTTTTTGAGTTTTCATAGTGCTTGAATATAATCTGTCTTATTTGATCTTTTCCCACAGAGAACGAGCAGTCCAAGAGATGCGTCGACATGGTCTTCCTACACCACCCCTTAGTTCTACTCTGAAGTCTCCTTTACAGTCTCCTGAACATATAAGTGTATAGTTATTAGAAAAGTAGGTATCTAACACCAAGGTCAGGCAAAACATCTAAGTTGTAAAAATTCAGGTAGTTTTCTTTGTCACGGGAGGGGAGATTGCCTGGAAAGGTGTTCAGGGGAGCTTCCTGGAATAATGGGAAATATTCTGTTTTGGTGGGGGTGGTTCTATCAGTATCTACAATTGCACTCATTAAACCGAACATTCATGGCACATGCATTTTATTTTATGTCATATAGTTCAGTGGTAGATTACTTACCTTGCATGCACAAGGCCCTGTGTTTAATGCCTACCACAGCAAAAAATAGAGATAAACAAAGCAGCAAAAATGCAAGATAATAATATGAGGCATTATAGGAAGGTATTTGATAAAGTACAACATTCAAGATGCTAATAATAACTGGTAGAAGTGTAGGCAAAGACACATAATTGTACATGGCATGGTATATTCAACTTGGCTGGAATGTCTGGTTGTGGAGAGATAATGAGAGAGGAGGAAAGTTTGGAAAGTAGAGTCAGAGTATACAAAGTATATTGAATGTGAAGACTAGAGATTGTAGACTTTATTCTGTAAGTCAGGGGAGCCATTAAAGGTCCTTCTGTCTATAAAATGGGTACCAAAAAGGGGATAAGATATAAGAATTAGGGCTGGTGTTGTGACTTAGAGGTAGAGTGCTTACCTAGCACGCATGAGGCCCTGGGTTCGATCCTCAGCACCACATAAAAATAAGTAAGTGAAATAAAAGTATTGTGTCCAACTACAACTAAAAAAATAAATATTTTTTTTAAAAAGATGTAAGAATTGTTTTCAGTGGATTAACGTCACAGCCATGTTTGAGCCATATTGGAAAGGATAGAAACTAGAGGTAAGGAGATATGTAAGAGGTTTGAAAAAGATTAGTGTAAGCAGTTTAGAATCAGTATTATAACATTGAAAGCTAGGGCAGAATTTTTAAAGTAAATTGTAACATACTTAGAACAAGACACCATATCTATACAGCTCAATGAATTTTCAAACTGAGCCTACCTAACTCAGATCAACAAACAAAATATTACCTCTTGTACTGTCTTATAGGCACTAGCTCTGCTCTAAAAGTGTCTTCACTGTCACATATATTCTTTTTGCCTGTTTGGACACTTTATAAATGAAAACGTAGATTTCTGGCTTCTTCTCCTCAACAACATATTTGTGAGATTTGTCCATCCAGTTATGTGAACTTGTAAATCATTCAGTCTTGTTGCTGCAGAATGAAATACCCTTCTGTGAACTTGCCACAGTTCATTTATTCATTCTGACAATGGTATAGTTCCCAGTGTGGACTTTTACGAAGTGCTCTGGGTATACCTCTTAGGGTAAAATTGTAGGCTCACTGAATATGCATATGCTCAAACTTTAGTAGTTATGGCAAAACTATTTTCCAAAGTAGTTGTAAAGACAAGTTAGGATACATTTGACTGAGGGTCAAAGGGATATGCTAATTCTTTGGAAATTGGAATCAATGGGAAAGAAGCATGAGTCAGATCCAGAGTTTGACAAGTAGTGACTGTGAATAATGCAGACTCATTGACAAAAATAGTTACATCAGTCTTTTTTAAGTTGATGTGTTTGTTTGCCTCCTTTTAATAGAAGTACTATATGTAGAAGATAATTGATATTTGCTTGAGGACTCAGAATCCTTATTATGAACTTAGTTATGTGCTATGCTTTAACATAACATGCTGACACCCATGTGTTTGTAGGGCCTGGGTTTAAATAATTCCTGATTGATTGCCTTTATGTTTATTTATTTAAAACATTTATTTTCCTCTCACTCATTCTGAGTTCTGTGTTCCCACAACTTCTAAGTTGCTGTGTTACTTTGAATGTGGTTAGGTGACAGTTCACCTTCTTACTATAAAGCATTGTACAGTGTGATAGATGTTTTCTCATGCTTGATTGACAGTTATAATTTTGATTAGAAGCTGGCAACCTAGAGTCTGCAGCCCAAATCCATCCCACTGCCTGCTTTTGTAAATTAAGCTTTATTAGTGCATAGCCATGGTTTACAAACTGAGAATACTTTTCTCCAGCAGCAGCGTTAAGTAGTTGTGATAGAACCTATGACATACAAGTCTAAATTTATACCCTAGCCTTTCACATCATGTCACCTCTGGGAACTCACTCATAACCTGTGAGGACATAATCATGAAAAGGCAAATAATTCCTCTACAAGGCCTGCCCTTGTAGACCCCCTAAAAGAATCTTGGGAAATCTCAGGAATCCACAGACTTTCAGAACCACTGATAGGGCAATCCCTCAAGCTGAGATCAATTAGAAAACTTTTTTTTTTGAGTGGCTATAAAACATAACATGAATTTTCCCATTTTAACTTTTTTTTTATATTTATTTTTTAGTTTTAGGTGGACACAATATCTTTATTTTTATGTGGTTCTGAGAATCGAACCTAGTGCCTCATGCATGCTAGGCAAGTGCACTACCACTTGAGCCACATCCCCAGCCCCATCCATTTTAACTCTTTTAAGTATATAACTCAGTGGCATTAATTACCTTCACAATGCTATTTGGCTATCACCATTTCTAAAACCTTTTAGAAATTCCCGTATTCATTAAGCAGTAATTCTTTACTTTTTTACACCCCCACTTTCTCAGCCCCTGATAACTTCTAACCTACTTTGCTATCTCTATGAATCTACCTATTGTAAATTTTTATATAACTGAAGTAATACAACATTTTCCTTTTATGCCTGGCTTATTCTGCTTAGGATGTTTTCAAGGTTCATCCATCTTACAGGATACCACATCTTATTTTTACCTTTTAATCAGTGTTTCTACATTATGGCTATTGTAAATAATGCTGCTGTGCACATTGGTGTGCTAATATCTGTTTTTCTTCATTTTCAATTTTTTTGGAGTATACCCAAGAGTAGAATTGCTGGTTTACACAATAATTCTGTTTAACCTCCTAGGAGCTGCCAAACTGTTTCCCACATTGCTGCACTATTTTTATGTTCCCATGATCACTGTACAAAGATTTCCTTTCTCCACAGTCTCACTAATACTTGTTATTTTTTTTTCCTTTTAACTGTCCTATTGCATGTGGATTAGAAAACTTTCACAACCGTTAACAAATTCACAGTTTTAAATTTAGTAATAATTCACAATTGAGTTTCAAAGTATCCTAATGAGATTTTTGACTAATAATCCATTCTTATTCACATTTTCTAAATATTGTCACCAAAACTAATTTTAAAGAATTCCCCCATGTGCACTCAGAATTGAAGTGCTCGGCCATGAAATGATTTTTTAGACTATTGTTTCTCTAAGTAATTAAAATATACAATCTAATTTTCTTACTTTTTTGACTGTTGTATCTGATACATGATTTTTTTGAGAATTTTTTAATATTTATTTTTTAGTTTTCGGTGGATTCAACATCTTTATTTTTATGTGGTGCTGAGGTTCGAACCCAGCGCCCAGCTCATGCCAGGCAAGCACGCTACCCCTTGAGCCACATCCCCAGCCCTGATACATGATTTTTAAAAAGTATTTCTTAGTTGTCAATGGACCTTTATTTAATTTATTTATATTCAGTGCTGAGAATCGAACCCAGTGCCTCACACATGCTAGGCAAGCACTCTACCATTGAGCCCCAGCCCCAGCCACTGGTATATGATATTTGAGATAGAAAAAAACTAAAATATTTTTCCTACTTTTATACACTCTCAGCGCAACATTTTTAACACCACGTTCTCTGTTGTACACTAACTGGGTGTCTTGTCATTTCCTTCTTACTCTTTTTACCTGGAAATAGTGTCAGATCCCATTGGGAAGAGGTTCGGTCCACAGGATTCCTTTCTCCCACTTTAGATACCAGTTGTAAGCCCTAGGTTGTAACCTGAGCTTCTGACCTACCTACTGTAAGTCCACTTTCCCACAGCCTTCTCCCTAAATTCAGTTAATTTGCTAGATGGCTCACAGAACTCTGGGGACACACTTTACTTACATTTACCTATTACAAAGGATACAGGCAGGTGGAAGGACAAGGTACCAGGGAAGGGATATAGAATTTCTATGACCTTTCCAGGATCAACTCCAGACACCTCCTGGTGTTCAGCTTCTGGAAGCTTCCCAACCTAGTCCATTTGTGTTTTTATGGAGTCTTCATTACATAGCTGTGAATGATTAGATCAACTCAGCCTTCAATGCTTTTTCCTTCCCAGATCATGCCTTGGTCTTCCTGGTGACTGGCCCCTATTCAGAAGCTACAGTCATCTCATTACCATAGAGAAGACACTACTATCGCTCTGGAGATTTTAAGGAGCCATCTGCCAAAAAGCAGGGATAGAGACCAAATATGTGTTTCTTCTTATGTCACACTGTCACTTATGCTGAGAAAATGTAAAATTCAGAAAAGATGAATAAGGAAATCAAAATCACTATTTTAAAGTATAGAATAGCACTTTTTAATTTGAAGAAGTAGAACAGTACTTTATGTATAATCTGGATTTGGGGCATAAGGTTTTATTTGGAGACTATATTTTTAAAACATAATTGAATTTCAGTTTTTTATGGATACATTGAATAAACTTGTTTATTATATATCTCTTAACCCACCTTCTCTCCTACTCTTTTCAGAATAATGATTTTCCATGTGTTTCTTTATGGATATTTAAAAGAACACAACAGTAATGAAATATTTGAAGTACTTGTTCCTGAAAATCATGAGCATTGACACAAATTCTACCTCTGGCAACTTTTATTTAAATCACTGAATATTTATGTAAAAAGTTTGGTTGAAAAGAACTCTATGTATATTTTCATATGTATGACAAAACAAAATATGTATTAATAGTGCTTAACTGATGTGATATGTATATTTTTATTATTCCTGACTTAAATTACTCCTTAAAATGTGTTTGTACTGTGAATTAATATAATGTATTGTGCACATTATGCTTTAATAATCTATTTCTAAATGAGCCATGATATATGTGTGTAAATATTTTACAGTACTTATTTTAAAAGTGTTTTTAGTTTTCATGCCTCTGTTTATAACCAATACCTTAATCTACTCACAAAGAATTATCATTTTGATTCTGTGCTGTCAAGCTTTTTCCTTCTGAATGTAAAATTAATTATTCACAGATTTGCTGTCATCAAGGGGAATATATTCAAGTCTAGTCTTAATATCAGAGGTCTTGATAAAATAATTACCATGTGTCATTAATTATTGCCAACCAGAAGAATTGTGATGGGAAATATAAATTTGTATATTATATACAATATTTAATTATTTTGATTGTCACATGGGCTCTTCATATAATGTAGATTCTATCAAAATCAAGCTAAAAGCTATATTCAGAATTTTGTAAAACAATAGAACAGAAATTTGGAACTTTTTTCCAGTGTATAAAATTCCTTGGTATGTTAGCCTAAAATTTCAGAATATAAAAGTAAGTGCAGTAAAATATTTTGTTAAACTTCCAATATGTATTCAATGATATTAATTTTTGTTTCCAATCTTGATGTTGTAACTTACCAGTCTTCCAGAATAGTACATAAACACGACCCTTTGGCATAGAAATTGAAACAGCTTTTTACAATTCATTTTCAAGGTTGTAATTTAAAGGAATTTAGGTATATGCATATGTTAATTAAAAAAATACAAAATAGAATGTCAGATACAAAAATGAATCGTGTTTAAACTGTACACATCTGAATAAAATCCTGTTCTAGCAGATTTCATTATGATTGAAAAAGAACATAAAAACTAATGAAAGGAAAATGAAAAATCATTTACTTATGATGTATTTTGTTTCCTTGCTGGTTTAATGAAGTGGAGTTCACATGTGTACTGGAGGTTGGCAGTGCGCTTTTTCTGTAACCTGTGTGCTGTGTGTGTTCAGGGTGTGCCCTTTGCAGTACTTTAGTGTTTTTTGGGCATAAGGTGGCCTACTTTCACACAGTCTTTGTAATTTTATGTAGCCTATCTCCTTTGCATCCATGTATTATAGCAAAATACAAGGGAAGTGTGACTATTTTCAATGTCATGGAAAATCTTTTAATAAATATATGTAAATAAAATGAAAAACATTGTCCCCACCTTTTCCCCCAAAGCAGTAGCATGACATATTTTGTTAGATATTTCATTTTTAGTTTTCTATAATTTAAAATTGTATAGCTTGCCATAAAATTGTTTTCATAACCATGATTCTACAATTTATTTTAAAAATTTGTTTTATCTTAAAATACTAAATGTTCTGACATTTTACAGATATTTTAAATTTTGTTTTAAATAATTTTAAATTATGGAGCTTGACAGATTTACCAATAAACATTCCAGTTGATTTATTTTTCTTGTTCTTATAAATATTTTAAAAACTTTTATATTAGCAATGTTCTTAAATCTAAAATTAAATAAAATTTATTCAAATCAAATTTCATCATATTATGATATCCCTGAACTAGGTGCCAGGCACCTTTTTTTCCTTTTAAGGACTTTCATTTATTATCCAGTCAGTTCAAAATAGAAGAAATGAAGTCAAAATTTCTGTTAATAACCTGTCAACAAATTGCATTAACAAATGTGCATGTATTGTGAATAGATGTAAATTTTTTCTACTTGCAAATGCTTTTGTTAAGAACATTAATTACCATTAGACTATGGTACCTGCCCTCTATCTTAATTAGTGCCTTGTGGATATACATGAAGGTGAGATTTACTGTGCTATATAGTCATATATGTACATAGGAAAAGTTAGGTCAGATTCTTTCCACTCTTCTTCTCTTACTGTGTTCCTCTGCCCTCTCTTCATTCCCCTTCCTCTACTCCATTGATCTTCTGTTTTGATAAGGAAGTCCCCCCCTTCACACATACATTTCTTTTTCTTCCCTTATTTTGGACTAGTTTCTAGATATCAGAGAAAACATTCTGCCTTTGACTTTCCAGGTCTGGTTTATTTCACTTAGTTTAATGGCCTCCATTTCCACCCATTTATTGGCAATTGTTGTAACTCTTTTTTATAGCCAAGTAATACTCCATTGTGTATCCACACCAGTTTCTTAAATCTACTCATCTATTGACAGGCACCTAGGTTGGTTCCATAACTTGGCTATTTGAATTGTGGTGCTATAAACATTGATGTGGCTGCATGCCTATTGCATGCTGATTTTAGATCCTTTGTATATATACCAAAGAGTGAAGTAGATGGGTCATATGGTGGTTCCATTTCTAGTTTTCAAAGTAATCTCCATATTGCTTTAGATTCTCTAATTCTAACAGTGCCATGGTTAACAGTGCTGCTTTAAGAAATTGACCCACCAAACTGATTTCATGACCCATGAATGGACCAACCTGTATTTTGAAGAACACTGCTCTTGATCTTGTTTATTACCTTCAAAGTCTCTATTTATACCCAGGTGTGGTAGTGTGTGCCTATAGTACCAGCTACTTAGAAGGCCAGCCTGGGAAACAGGCAGACCTTTTCTCCAAAACAAACCCTCAATTGCTAGCATCCTACTCACCCCTTTATCTACATCACTCTGTTACACCTTTCCCAAACATGTATGATATTACTAGATCTCTACAAAATGGATTCCATCACCCTCCCTTTATTTTGTATAAACATTGCTGAGAGCCACAGCCGAGTCGGAATGGCCTCTGGCATTTTGCCACTAGTATTGATTGATAGGCGAGGCATTACTATCCGCCTCAGCCGCTACTTTGGAGTTCTCGTGGGGATTCCCGGGATTCCCAGAGAGTTCCCATTGGTTGGGGAAGTGCAGGAGGAGGGATTTCCGGAGGATATTTCCGGCTGCTGGTTCCTTGACAAGCCGCGTGGCGTTCGGGAGGAGTTCCCGGGAGCGTGTGTGGAGCGTGCTGGAGGAGTTCAGAAATAAAAGTTTGTTCCTGCTTCAGTGGCTCGTGATTTGTGCCCAGCCAGACTGTGGCATTTGGCGACCCGTGTGGGGAACACCTGAAGCTCGGGGGGGGGGGGGGGGGGTTAAGTGAAATTGCTCGCCCCTAAGGGAAGGCGAGAGAATGGGTGACCATTTCAAAAAACAATGTGTTCTTGTTTTGATTTGTTTTGTTTTTGTTTCAAGCTGCCTATCCCTAGAACTTTCTCAGGCAAACTGGGAAAAATGGTTGGCTCAAGGTTTGAAGTTGTTTGCCCCTGAGGAAGAGATAGAAATAGACCACAAATGCACATGTCAAGAAAATAGGAAAATCGATACAATGATTTTTTGTTCCGTTTTTGTTTCATTCTGTTTCGGTTTTGTTTTGTGTTATCTTATTGGGTTGCGTTATCTTTATAGTAGATTAGAAATTAGTAAAAAACAAACCGAAAGAGTGTTAAGTAAATTGTTAGAGGTTCAGACCATGGAGAAAGACATTTTAGATCAAGTAAAAGAGAAGGTCTCTCGAGCTAGTCAGAGGAAGAAAATTTAAAGGAAGAAAGCTTAGAGGAGAAACAGCTATTAGGGAAAAAGCTACAACAGGAGGCTGCTACTAACACCGTTCTATCACCAGAGGGCATAATTCAACCAACAGCTCCACCTATGGAGACAGCTGAGTGGCCCTCAACCCCCGTAGTTGATAGATGGGATCCTGAGACAGGACCTCAAAGATTAGCATGCCCTGTACTTGAGCAGGCAGGAGAGCAGCGAATTCACCGTGCTTTAGATTTCAAAACAGTGAAGCAGTTAAAGGAGGCTGTAACAACCAATGGTCCTCAAGCACCCTTCACTGTAAGCATGGTCGAATCCATTACCAACTTGGACATGACGCCAGCAGATTTGGCTAGCATGTGTAAATCTGTGCTAAATGGAGGACAATATTTGTTATGGAAGGTTGCCAATGAGGAATTTTGCATGGAGACGGCTAGGCGAAATGCAGCAGCCGGTTACCCTCAAAGAAATCTAGATATGTTGTTAGGAAGATGACCTTATGAGGGTCAACGGCAACAAATTGAATATGATCCTGCTATATATGCACAAATTGCTGCAGATGCAGTTAGGGCATGGAAGACTTTACAAGGACATGGAGATTTACAAGGTCAATTATCTAAGGTAATACAGGGAGCTAATGAACCTTACGCTGAATTTGTAGATAGGCTTATTCAAACAGCTACCAGAGGTTTGGGGGATACAGAACAAGAAATGCCATTAATTAAACAACTGGCTTATGACCAAGCAAATCCTTGATGCAGAGAGGTCATTAGACCATGGAAACATGGAGATTTAAACACATATATTAAACTATGTAAAGACATTAATGAACAAGGGCAAGTCTTGGCAGCTGCAGTACAACAGGCTTTAGATGCCAGGCCAAAAACGTGCTACAATTGTGAACAGGACATTTTAAAAGGAGTTGCCCCATAGGAGGAGGGTTTAACAAAGCTAGGTATCAAAGGAGTAGAATACCGGGTATTTGCCCACGATGCCGTAGAGGGAGACGTTGGGCTAATGAATGCCGTTCTCAAACCACCATAGCGGGTACTCCATTATCAAAAAAAGGACAAGGACCAGGTGTTTACCCACGATATCATGGAGAAAGGCATTGGGCTCCATTGCCAAAAAACGGACAGGGGAGCCCAATGCTCCGGGGCCCACGACCACAAATATACGGGGCACTGAAGGAACCTAAAAACACCCTGGAGGAACCCAGCAACACCATCAGGGTAGTGCCCAGGACACATTAACCATCAGATCTCTCATCAGATGAACCAGAGGGAGCACAGGGTTGGACATCTGCGCCTCCACCAGAGCAGTACTAACTCCAGAGATAGGAGTTCAAATCATTCCCACAGGAGTAAAAGGACCTCTTCCCCAAGGAACAGTAGGCTTATTGTTAGGATGCAGTTCTTCTACTCTAAAAGGACTTATGATAAGTCCTGGGGTAATTGATCCCGATTATGTAGGTGAAATAAAAATTATAGCTAGTTCTCCAAAGGGTATATCAGTAATTTCACCAGGAGATAGAATAGCACAGTTATTAATAATACCCAGCCTACATGATAAATTTTCCAGTAGTACTATAGAAAGAGGTTCCAGGGGATTAGGCTCCACAGGTGTAGATTGGGCTATGCTGTCTTTAAATCTAGATTCTCGCCCAATGCTAAAACTATATATTCAAGGACATGAATTTAATGGGCTACTGGATACAGGTGCAGACCTTAGCATCATATCTCGTCAAGAATGGCCAAAACGTTGGCCATTACAACAAGCCACTCAAACGCTTCGAGGCCTAGGAGTGGCAACTAATCCCCATAGAAGTGCAATGGTATTAGATTGGAAGGATCCTGAAGGATGTGAAGGAATTATATAGCCATATGTATTGGATCATCTTCCTATAAATTTATGGCGACGAGATGTCCTAGATCAATTAGGTTTGACATTAACAAATAACATCAATCCAAATGCGCCCACTATTTGGGCTAGACGAGGTTTCAGGAAAGAAAAAAGATTAGGAGAACAAGAACAAGGTATAGCAGCACCAATTCAAATAGATCAAGGAATAAATAGACATGGATTGGGTTTTCAGAAGGGGTCACTGAGGCAATAAAAATTACTTGGATATCAGATAGACCAGTGTGGGTTCCTCAGTGGCCCCTGACTAAAGAAAAGATACAAGCAGCCCATGACCTGGTCAAACAACAATTAGCAGAGGGACATATACAACCTTCCATATCTCCCTATAAAACTCCAATTTTTGTCATTAAAAAGAAATCTGGTAAATGGAGATTATTGCAAGATTTAAGAGCCATTAATAATGAGATGGTTATTATGGTACCTGCTCAATCAGGGATTCCTCAATTGTCTGCTTTGCCAAAAACCTGGTACGTTTTAGCTATAGATATTAAAGATTGTTTTTTTTTTTCAATTCCAATTCATCCTGAGGATGAATTGCATTTACTATCATTTTGCATTTACTATCCCTGCACTGAATCATGAAGGTCCTGATCAGAGATATGAATGGAAAGTACTCCCTCAAGGGATGGCTAACATTCCAACTATGTGTCAAATTTATGTTAACAAAGCAATCCGGCCACTTAGAAATCAAAATCCTGAATTACAAATATTTCACTATATGGATGATGTATTGTTAGCACACAAAGATAAAAAACACATTGCTAGAATGTTATGCCACACTTACAAATTTATTAAAAAATTATAATCTAGAGATAGCAATAGATGAAGTACAATTAAATTTTCCAATTAATTATTTAGGAGTTCTATTATCCTCAACCATGGTCCGTCCACCAAAAATTCAAATACGAGTAGATCAACTCAAATCACTTAACAACTTTCAAAAGTTATTAGGAGACATAAATTGGATAAGGCCTTATCTAG